ACGTGGACAAAAAAATCACACTTGCTTTCCTTATCGTTTTCAGTAGTAACGGGTTCAAAGATTTGCCAGCGCAGCTTGAACGTACCACTGCCACTCTGACGAGAACAGGACTAAAGCAGTCATAGGTAACACCGACTACGTCTTAACAACTGTGTGTATGTGTTCCTGGAAGGCTTGGCGGTTAATATTTTTTTCTGCAACAGATTAAAGAGTATAAGTCTCACGTGGTGGCAACTGTGCAGAACGTCAATCACGCCTTGTACGTCAGTCGTGAGTGACCGGCAATAATGTCCCCCATGCCGGACACCAGTAATTTCGTTCCGGCTATAATGTCCCCCATGCCGGACACCACTAAATTCGTTCCCGCAATACTGTCCCCCATGCCCAATGCCACTAAATTCGTTCCGGCAATAATGTCCCCCATGCCGGACACCAGTAATTTCGTTCCGGCAATAATGTCCCCCATGCCGGACACCACTAAATTCGTTCCGGCAATACTGTCCCCATGCCCAATGCCACTAAATTCGTTCCGGCAATATGTCCCCATGCCGGACACCAGTAATTCGTTCCGGCTATAATGTCCCCCATGCCGGACACCACTAAATTCGTTCCGGCAATAATGTCCCCCATGCCAGACACCAAGAAATTCGTTCTGGCAATAATGTCCCCCATGCCGGACACCAAGAAATTCGTTCTGGCAATAATGTCCCCCATGCCGGACACCACTAAATTCGTTCCCGCAATAATGTCCCCCATGAAGGACACCACTAAATTCGTTTGGGCAATAATGTCCCCCATGCCGGACACCACTAAATTCGTTCCGGTAATAAGGTCTTTTGGGTCACCAATTATCACAGTTGTTTTCCATTGGTAACGCTATGGTAACGCTGGTGGCAGTTTTTTGAAGGTCACCGATTGGCTGAAAAGTCAGCTTTCCGTGGTAGGTCCCTCATGTCATAATTTTATTCCAATTATACGGTGCAAGGAAATCTTTGGTATGATTGCATTTTCAGCACAATGGAATGTGAGGAACATGCAGAATACTCTTCCGTAGCAGTCGATGCATATGGCGACAAACCACTGCACGTGCTCCGATGACATGGTTCTGAATTATCGATCTGCTTGCAGAACTGATCCCACCGATGCCGAAAATTCGAAGAGGAATAAAACAGTGTTACCCTCGGAGCAAATACAGTGCAGGCAATAATATTATGTAATGTATAGGCTTCGCAAAAATTCTTACAGAACTGCACTATCTTGCAGTCGTCGGCATGTGGATCACACATTTCAGTTAAATAAAGGCTGCCTTCAGTTAAAGAAAAGCTGTTGCCGATCGTGTTCCCCGTACACGATCAGCAAAAGCTGCATGTGCTTGATCAATCTTGTCCTAATTTGTTGCCCCAAACCTTGTTCCATTTCTTGAACGCCCTTGTCATTAAACATGCCTTGAGTTATGTTGATGCGTTTGACTGCTTGAGAAGGACCTGTCATCCCAATCGGAGCCACCTATGCAATTGAGTAACATCAGTGAGATCGTTCTCCGCCACTCAGTTAATTTGTTGTGTTTATTTCTTTATCGCAGACGAGAAAGCAATGGATGGCCAATGGATAATAGGCTACGCGATATAATGCATTTGTAATGTACTGTAATACTCAGCACAGAAATACATAGTACGAAGATGGCACGGCCAACTTCGGACATTGTTTTATTATCAGACTGATAATATCGGCGCATGATCACGGTCGAGTGAGAGAAAACAGAATGTTTTTTTTTAAAAGTAGGTAGCGTTATACTCTTATTTAACTCTTGATATATCGCTGCGATAATACGAGTGCAATCAGTGTAAATCAGTAGTGCAATCAGGGTAAATTGCTATCATAGTTGTGGAGAAAAGTACCACCTAATTCCTGTCGTCAGACTCAAACTAAGCGTCATTGTGTGCTCTATTTCTACCACCGACACCCCGCGCTCGGTTTTTGCACAACGCATGCTACGGTGAGCGTTGTCACCATAATGCTCTGAAGGGCTCCATACGTTTTGCTTTCGGCTTCCAGTTCGTGATACAGGTATGTGGAATAAGTCACAGTATCCGTACCCTAGTTGTATTTACCGCCATATTTTCCCTGGCATTTGCCTGGTTTTATTGCCTGCCAGTTGCCAGAGTCTCCAGGTTTTATCGCTTGTCATGCCAATGGCGCGCCGTTGGCAAGTGCCACTGCCACGTGTTGTCACCTACCCTTTCATGCACAACTAACAGACGACATTCAACTGTCTTGATAAACCCGAGAAACCTAAGAAAATTAGGTGACTTAAGAGACCAAATGACCTTAAGAAACCTAAGAACCTAAGAAAAAGCAAAAAGAAATTAAGAAAACTCATAAACTAACGTATTAAACCTAAAAGGAAGTTGTCGGTCGACAAAAGTTTTTCGGCAAACATCGGTCAACAATTTAGCAGAAAAGCGAATTGTCGGTCAACAATTTGTCGGTCAGCGAGCTGTGTAAGTGAGCAACATGTCGTTCACCAAATTGACGCTCTGAGAATTGTAGGTGCTGAACTGACGTGCTAAACTTTAAATAGTTAAGAGACATTTCAAATCACTTACAAACGTTATCCGAAAGCTGATGCTCTGTTGATGGGGCAATACTACAAACGTATTTTATGGGGTTAGGACCTTTATTAAGTATCACAATGCTAGTACAAAACTGAGTACCAAAGCAGAATATAATTTATAATAAAAACACTTCTTCGATGCTATCCTGTTCGGGGATTGTACCCATCACGCATATCGCGTTTCCCCGTTGCATTTGAATAGATAGCCGCTGCCTAAAAAAACTCAATTGCGCGTTTTTGGCCGGTAGCAGTTGCAATTCCGTTTCCTATCTTCTGAACGAGCGTTTTAGTTCCATTTCCCCAGGGTCCGTAGATTTCAAATGCTGCCGCCATGAAATTGTACCTTGGTTGAATCAGCCGTGTTTTGTCAGCTTTCCTCGCTCCGCGTGCTCGGCCGCAGCCCCGTCGTTCACCAGGGTCCGATCAATACACGAAGCCGCTAGTGTGTCTACGCAAGTCACATCGATAGCCAGTGGCTTTCCGCGCTCCCAGGGTACGAGCGTGATCACGTCCGGCCTTTTGCGATCTTTCACAGAGATGGTTCCATTCTTTGGTTCCATTCTGGCTGGGAAAGCTGCGGTTTTCAGGCCGCGGGTGAACTCTCCGCTGAGGCCATCATGTCTTGGCAATCTGCCGGCTGACCGTTTACAACGGAGCCCGTGCCGCCCCAGATCATCCACTAGTCCACCGCAACGCACACGTGAGGAGGACGATTGAGCTCCTGCGTAGCGCTACGCTTATGCGAAAGTGTTGTTTTCAGCAAATTTCCGAGACATGCTGCGGGTAACGCATGAATCCATACACCAGATTCGGGGACAGATACCGCCTTTAGGTGAGCGATTTCCTCCTTTGTGGCCCGCAATTCGGTTAGCCTTGCATAAGTGTTCAGCGTTGTGGGTGTGTCCCAGGCTTTTTGAACATGTCGTAACGCTTCGAACGGAAGTTCATCAGTGTCGGCCAATAGTTTCCAGGCGCGCGTGGCGGCAGACAAATCGGTAGCCGTTAGCGTCGGGCACAGCTTTGAAGTCAGCGGAAACAACGAGGAAGCCGATGCCAAGTAGTCAGAGGGATGAGATGACAGATTCCCCCAAAAACAGCATGGAATACGTACCGTAGCACAGCTTTATAAAAGGGTAGTATTCCGGAATGACTTCAGATGCTATTTTCAACACTTCTTCCCGTGATACGCAGTTAAAGGCGTTCGTGAAGTCAATTTTCAGAAGGGCCTTGACATCTTTGCTATACTGTAGGAGGAAATCTTTAGCAGTATATATAACAGCTTCGACACGTCTCTTAACACCCGAACCGAGCTGATGTGGCTGTAGCAATTCCGATGTGACTGGCCGGATGCGGATTTCCACTGCTTTTGCGGCGAGACGTCGATACGTTGCCAACAGCGATTGGACGCAGGCCTCCGTCTTTTGCGTAGAGCGACGAGGTCAGGGCACCACAAAGCAGAGGGACAATTTCCTCGGTACATTGCCTGTCAGAATAAGATTTAACAGATCTGTCAGTGAGTCACACAGAGCAGACGAAGCGTCATCCAGTCTTGCACCGATCAGATCCAGCAGGTGTTGGGGTCGCAAATAATCTAGCCCACCAGCGCTACCACGAGGCATCGCATCTATTTTGTTTTATTGTTTCAACCTTTACGCCTCCACGTGTTTTATTGTTTCAACCTTTACAACATGCCGACAATGTGCTGCTCACTGCCTAAGCAACAACTTACTGTCGTGAACAATACTGGTGAAATAGTATCTGTAGGATACCAGGGTAATGTCGAGAAAGAAGCAACAATGCAAACAGGAAGCATGTACCGTAATTATCGAATTTGTGGCTCCCCGCAATAAGAGCCCCCCCTGAAATAAGCCCCCCTCCCCGACCCTGTTTGAAAAATAATGCCACCCCCGAAATTACGCCCCAGGGGGCCGTTATTAAATGTCGAGCGCTGCAAAATGATAAGTACGCGGGAATTTCTTCTTAACAATTATTGTTAATTTGATGGGTAAACAGCAAACGGACATCAACATATAGTGGTGTTTGTTGAGAAAGAGTTGCTTAGGTAAGAATATGCTCCAAAATGTGTGTTCGTAAGGTCGTGTAGTTGGATAAACCGGTACCTATTTCGTACAGTTTCACTAGAATAGAATGCGCAGTTGTTTGAAATATAATGCCCCCTTCCAAAATATGCCATTTGAAAAATAATGCCACCCCCCGAAATTACGCCCCCTCCCCGAAATAAGCCCCCCTCCGTCATAACCTTCGAACTATTTGCACCCCAGGGCCACAAATTCGATAATTACGGTATACAACGAAAACGAGTAGCTTCCGTCACCAAATCGTTTCACGTGAAAGTCAGAGCAATTTTATGTGCCTACTAGTTGACTCTTTTCGGGAAGAACTGGGCAAACTACACGTAAATCTGTTACACATACTTTCCAAACACCGAAAACCTTATAACTGCATGACGCACAGCACACAAACACCATATAAATCGCCGTAATGCACTACGTACGTACGTATACAGCGCGTTAAAGTGAACCATGCATCCATAACTTATCCAAATTATCCCAAGAAACAAATTCGATGATATTTTAAGATCCGATTACCGCTAAGCTAAAACAAATAGCATAAGAAAAAACTGACTTAAGTAGAAGTCAAACTACAATGCTATTCAGTGCGAAGAAATAACAGGTTGGCGTTATTGCCTAATTTTAGGATCCGGATTCGACAGGCGCCTCACCGGGCACGAAAACAGCCAAGATACGCTTATAATACTCATTTCGCGCCCGGGACTTGACCTCGTTGCGGCCCATACCCTCTTCCTCACTGTTGATCGCCCGGATACTCGCTCCGAATTTCCCCTCGGCCACTCCGGGATAACTATGCACCACGGCGCCCCAGTACCAGCAGGCGGTGGCCCAGGCGACGTCCTCGTCGTCCGCCACCTGATCCGGGTTCTCTACCAAGCGATCGTCGTGGTACAGCGCCTGTGAGGCCTTGCGGTAGTTATCCTCCCAGGTTAGCTGCATGTATCCGCGTCCGTAGTACTTCCCGTATTCAGGTTGGGGCGAGATCTCCTTCCTGTATCGCAACCCGGCAGATTCGTGGAGGATGTTGGCTAAGAACATTCCCAGCTCACGGCGGCTGGTGAAGTGCCCGTAGGGAACGCCTTTGGCGAAGCTCTCGTACTGAGAATCCGTCGGTTGAGGAAAGCCGTTGACAATCACGGCCAGCCGGAATTCGTCTTTGCTAACCTGGTACCGCGCCGGAGAACCTTGAGAAGGGAATTTTTAGAAGTGTTTATTAACTATGCGTAAGTTCATTCGACAGACTGATACAGCGTATCTAGGGTAATTCAAAGGTTAAACTGGCCGTTACTGACGGGCCAGGGTCAAAAAGAGGGAGGGAAAACAAAAGGGAGGGATTTTCTTTGGTCAAAAAGAGGGAGGAAAACTAAAGGAAGGGATTTTGAGTGGTCAAAAAGATGGAGGGAATTTCTATGGTAAGAAAAGGAAGGGAATTTGGGCGATACCAAAATTTGAAAAAGTGCAGAGCGAGCAAAATTTGAGCAAACTTTTCAAGTACTACTTCCGGAAGCTGTTACCGCGTAATAGCTTCAAGTATACTGGTAGTCTCCCACTTCACAAAAAAATTATGTCAGATTTTCTCCGCAGGTTTGATTTTGGATGCTATAATTATGGAACATATTTATGTTCAAAAGTAAGTACTTACTTACAAACTATATTATTTAGTTCATTTTGTAACCAAGCACCCGAGCGAAGCGAGCTTTTCTTTAACAAGCTGACGAGCGAAACGAACCCGCGCTTCTATTGGATGACATTAGAGTCCTTCGGTCTCTGTACCGGAGAATGCACACGACTTTTGTGTCGCTGAGTGACCTTTGGGTCGCCCACGATTTTCTTTGTAATTCCTGTGTAACTCAACGGGGTGAGTCAAACTCTGTAAGAGGCAAAGAGTTCTGTATGCATAAACGTGAGCGCGGCGTTACAAACTAATGCACCCGGTGACCTCGAACCTGGGTACCCGAGGTCGCCACCAATGTTTCCACTGTACATATGCAGTTTGATGTGCTAAGTTGAACTGAAGTACTCCTGACATCCCTAAATCTTTAAACAGTCTACTTAAAAAATAAAAAATCGCAGTACTGAGTTGGGGCTGCGTAGGAGATCGTCGCGCACGAATCAAAAATCGTAGCCGATATTTTTGGGTCATTGAGTTAGTTTTCAAAAAACCGTGCCGGTAGAAAATGTAGGAATTAAAGTGAAACTGCATGCTAGGTAAACTTATTTTAATTTGAGGGTTTTACTTTCTAAAAATTATTGGCAATCTTTTTTAAATCAGTTTATTTGTTAAGCATTCAGATAATTTTCGAATCAAAACCTGGTATGTACATTATTTTTTTGAATAAATTCTGTATCCAAGTTATATATTTTTCACGTTTTATACGCAAAATCAATTTTGGAATTTGCACCATAATCTGGAGATATTTATTGTCTTAGTTTCGCAATCAGATTTCAAACTTATTATGTTCTGATCTAAGTATAAAATGTTTCGCGTAATGCTGGTCTATTTGTGAATTTAAAAACCACTTCAAATTAGCCTGCACTGGTAATTAGAAATCAAGCCTAACAGCTCTCTGGAATTAAGCTTTTATATGATTAAATCTGCATATTTAGGATTGTATGTATGTCTTATATTTCAATAGTAAACAACTTGGTATTTAGCAAATCTTTTTTAGTTTTTGTATATTAAATCTAAGCATTTGATTTTGAGCAGTAGAGCACGTAATTTTACGTACTTTACAGCTCATATGCTCAAAGATGCAGCTTTGTGTCTAGATACTGAGCTGTTTTGTTGTTTAGTTTTATTCACAATTTAAGCAAATTTATGTGCTTAAAGCTGTGGAGCTTCTAATTAGTGAACATTTTTGCTTGTTTAGATATGGAAATGGGAAGTATTTTGTTAGAGAGGAAATTAGATTACGTATTTATATAATGAGAATTATGAGATGACTAAATACATAGTATATTATACATTTTCATAGACATTTAGTTTTATCAGAACATGACGCAGAGAGCGAAATAAACCCAAACGCACACTTTACTGTGAAAGCAATATAGCCAAAAACCCAACAAAACCACAAAATCTATAAGGAAGAATGCTGGAGAAAAGACGGCTGCTTTAGAACTTGTGAATTCCGTGTTGATCAAAACAAGAACGAAACGGCATGCTGCAGCTGCGTATCATCTGAGGCAGCATAACATGGGATCGCTCGTTGGCAGGGCTCCGCCCGCCATGAGTGATGCTGATGGTCAGTGCAGACAAAGTAAGCGCAGGGCTGTCAGCGCACATAAGCGGCACGAGTGGCGTGGCCACTTGCGTGCGGGCGACAGAGCGAGCCACAAGAGGCGTGGGATCTCTGATAGTTTAAGACATTAGGTACAGATGTTGTAATCAAAAATGTTTTACCAAATTAACTTAATATATATATCAACAAATATTTATATAAGTATTTAGAAATATTTAGAAATATTTAGAAATATTTAGAAATATTTAGAAATATTTAGAAATATTTAGAAATATTTAGAAATATTTAGAAATATTTAGAAATATTTAGAAATATTTAGAAATATTTAGAAATATTTAGAAATATTTAGAAATATTTAGAAATATTTAGAAATATTTAGAAATATTTAGAAATATTTAGAAATATTTAGAAATATTTAGAAATATTTAGAAATATTTAGAAATATTTAGAAATATTTAGAAATATTTAGAAATATTAGGAACTAAATAGGTTTCGTATTTTTAAAATTACAATAATCGCTCAAAAATACTAAAAAACGTTTACATATCACATTTTTGAATTTTAAATACCCAAAAAAAATGATCAGAATTGCTCACAACTTTCTGAGACATCGAAATGCTCAGGTTTTAGCAACTGGTGCAAAGACGTCTTCAGACAGGAGGACTGCAGTTGAACCCTTTAAATCAACCAATGCCACAAGGTGCAAAAGCTTTGTAGCGACCTCGGGTACCCTGAGACCTTCAACATGGATACTCAATACTACTCATGTTAAGTTCGTTACATCAAACTGCACTATTATAGTGTGAAAACCAAGTGGCGACCTCAGGGACCCATACACTTTTTTGTCACACCAAACTATAATAAGGCGCAAAAACGTAATGGCGACCTACGGGACCCAGAGACCTTGAACCCGGAAACTACCTTTGAACACGCCAAAGTGCAAAAATTCGTTGGTGACTTCGGGGACATTTCGAACCAGGGTACCAGAGTTCCTCGATGCCATTCGACTAATGCGTGTTTTTTCTAGGTCGGAAGCAAAAACTTAGTGGCGAGCCCAGCAGCCCGGGTTCAAGGTCTCCGTGTTACAGAAAACTCAGATCTTACCTAAACTCGCTACGCTCGCTTGCTTAACTAAACGCCCCCAAAATATACGTTACGATTTTTGACTGTCATGCGCGACGACCTACTCAGCCCTAACTTTATATTGAGATTTTAAACTATAAGTAGGCTGTTTAAAAATTTAGAGTATGTTAGGTGTCGTCACGTCACCTGCGTACTGACTGACAGAAAACAGAGCTGGACATACCACAGCTGACGTTGTTACGCCACAGGGTAGTGCTTCAGTTCGGCTTAGCAAGTCAGACTGCGTATATACAGTGGCGGCGACCTCGGGGACCCAGGTTCGACTTCACCGGGTATTTCAGTTTGACTCACCACGTTGAGTTTCATAGGCTCTGCACTTTTTCAAATTTTGTTATCGCCCAAATTTCCTTCCTTTTCTTACCATAGAAATTCCCTCCCTCTTTTTGACCACTCAAAATCCCTTCCTTTAGTTTTCCTCCCTCTTTTTGACCAAAGAAAATCCCTCCCTTTAATTTTCCCTCCCTCTTTTTGACCAAAGAAAATCCCTCCCTTTAATTTTCCCTCCCTCTTTTTGACCCTGGCCTTACTGACGCAACATATTCGAAAATCTTGCAATCTGTTGCGACTTTCAAGTGTTTCTCCACTCGCGGCCAGTCTAACGGAGTTCGCAGAATGGAGCTTCCCAGCCCTTGCTTTGGGCCCCAGCGAACTTATCAAATCTACAACTAGCCATATGTGAAACGTATAATAATGTAGTAGGATATTATTCTCGTACAGTCAAATGCTTAGGATCAAGTAGAGTAAAGTGCAAAGCACCATAGCCAAATTTAACGCGCTTGGGAGGAGGGCACCGTGAATACAGGAACCCAAATGACGGCGAAATAATCTGTTGTAGAAAATTGTTTCGCAATTTTTTCAAAGAAATCAAACTGGTTCCGCTTGCGTGAAAAGCAACGTGCCGTGTAAAAAAAGATATTAACTGCGTATTTTCGATGCACAGCTGGCCGCGCATTATTGGGCATTTTGATTTAGTTTACGGGGAAGTCGCCGCTAGGTCTCTTTCTCTCTTTTTCAGTGTTGTGCCGTGATACTGCACGGTACCTTTCTCTCTGTTCCCTTGCTTATGGTTGCGCTGTGACAAAAGTACCATTCTGGCACGTATGGCTTGATCATCGCCCAACTCAAGGGGCTTCACTGTACTGTATTGTATAAACTGAAGACTGTATGAAATTGTATGAAATATTGTCTGTATTGTAAGAAATACAATGCAGCCCCTATAAAACCGCGTCGGCTTGATGTACATATTCCTGCGGTTTGGTGGCAGGTCCGCACTGTGTTTTTCGAGTTATGTGACCAGTGAGCACACTTTATGCAAGCTGTTAGCTTGCAGGTCTTCCGAGTTTCTCGCACACATAATGTAAAAACGGCCCAATGTATTTAGAGAATAGAGCGGCAGCTGTGAAGTGGTGCTGACTGTTGAGCCAGTTTGATTGATTGATTGATTTGATTTCGAGTAGCCAAGCCCGTAAACGGGAGAGTTGTTAGTAAATGTATCGTGCGCACTGTTGTCGGTATGAATAGCATTGGCATAACATAATTTTTAGCAAGTTTAACATAATACCTTGTTTTGCGGACGCCTCTTTGGTAAACACGTGCATTTCATTCAGAGAAGAACTGGATGGTCGCTCTGGTCGGGGAAGCAAGCACCGCCGAACAAAATCCAAAGCGTCTTTTTCATTAATACAACTTATATCTGGGTTGGCACCAACGTTTCTCAGTCCACGTAAGTTGGCTAGAAAGTCATCAAACTTGTTTTCCGGCGCAAATACAAATAAGCTTTCTTTTTGCCGTTCCTTCTCCGTGTAAATCCAGTTTGGTGGACTGCGCTGGTACATTTCGAGCACCGTGCAACCTAAGCTGAAGACGTCTGTTAGCGTCCCAATGACATCTATTGAATCGTCCCAATCAAAGCTTGCAAGCTTTTGCATTTCTGTTGAAGCAAATCGGGAAGAGCCTTCCGCAATATTAAGAATTTTGTTGTCTTTTGAATTCAGATCATGGAACGCAGCCTTTTCAAAATGAGCGAGCTTCAGAAAATATTCCTTTTTTTTAAGGGGGCACTCTTGCTGGCGAACTAAGACATTGTCGCAACGAATGTCCTTATGAATAATGCGATTGTTATGCAAAAATGTTAATCCAAGTAGCATTTGCTTCGTGAAAGATCGGAACAGAGAAGTATCGATTTTCTGGCATCCGGTCAACGCAATCAAAGTTGAGAGCGGCTGCAAGCAATCTTTAAGAAAAAACAGACTTAATGATCACTTTAAAATTCAAAGGTTATTTTTATCTACCGAAGCGAAGCGTGGGTCCTCTATGTTTGAGAAACTAAGATTTTTGCCTGTCCATTGGTCACGCACTCAGCAGTACTAGCTAACTGTTAAGCCATAGTATCTAGTTTCTATTAAAGCGAAATCCGGGAGCCAAGGTTTCTGGGGTTCAGAAATTTTTTTCTGTCTGACCCTCAGGTCACGCACAATCTGCTGCTCTGTCGCGACATAAGCACCACTAATCACTAAGCTTTCTCAACTACTAGGCACTAAGCTTAAGGACTTTGCACAATTTTGGGTTCTAAGTTAAGGTACTGCAAATAATACTAAATATATTCCATAGTAGAAAACAGCTTTTTTCTGTGCATTGGTCGCGTACTAGGTAGGTACATACTGCATTACAGCTAAAACTTTATGCCTGCTTGTGCGCACTTTTTTTGCCTCTTTACCTTCCTACAAAATATGTCTTCAACAAGTACATATTCTTTATTGGAGATACAATGCTAAACGAAGTGAACTGCAACTATTTTACACGAAATTTAAAATAGCACGTGCAAGATCGAGAACCTTCTAAACAATCCGAACCCTTATGCGCTATACATGCACTCACGCAGTATTACAGTGAACAAAATGACAAACTGATAATGCCAGTATTAAGTGATATTTTAGCCAAGCAACAAACTGTAAAAAACTTTCGATAGCGATAACGAAATTTTTGTGTGCTTTATTAAAAGCAATAGGTTACGTGAGTTTAGAATAAGACCTTTTTATTATAAAAAGGTCTATAGATAATGCAAATATGTAGCGCTTGTGTGACCGACCAGCTTTATCTGTTTTAAATACCACGTTGGCAAGTTTTAATATCTACAGATAGGAAACAACCGCCGCAGGGCCACGTAAGCATCTTGAGCTACCTATTCGCTACCGCACGTAGTTCGCTCTGAAAGTCCTTTCCACATGCTTTCGAGTTTCGAGTTATTTCGTGATATCTTGGCTATAGTTTTGTTGTACAGTACATTGCTGCCAAACATTTTATTTTGTGGCAGAAACACTGTTACGACAAACGGTTTTTTCCGGTCAGTTTTTTAAGAACGGGTTCTTCAGTAGTGACCCTGAGGCGGTCAGAACTAGTCTAAAAGTTGCCCCCAAAAGATTCCAAGTTCCACCCGATCGACAGGGCGTAATAAGGTAATGCAAGGCATATATTTTCTAAGATTTGCAACCCCACTGAAAATTAGATTTCATCCCATGAAAATTTAGGCTCGTAATCTGTATGTAAGAATGGCCGAGCTCAAAAAATCTATGTTTTAGAGAACGACCTTTCAAAGTGTTAATCTATGCATTTCAATTGTGTATTCACGTTTGGCTTTAACCGTTCTAGTTCCGAAGAGGTGATTTGTAGGCAAAACGAGTTCTAAATTCTTAAAGAACTGCAATAGATATGATTTGTTTAGTCAAACCTTTCATTGGACTGTAAAATTTGTGTTCTCTTGGGAGTTTCAGCCGGAGATATGTACATCAGTTTCTGGCTTCGCTTCGGTATTTTAGTGCTAGCCAGAAGCGGCGCACTTCTCTCGAAAATTTAGGTAAAATCGATGAATACCTTCGCTTTCCGTGAATATCCAAAATTTCTGTACTGTCCGAGCTATTGCAAGGTGTTTGATAATTTCCGACTTTTCGCCTGAGTGTTTGATTAATTTGTCAAAGACATCTCTTTTGTTTTGGAATAACGGTCCGTCCCAGCTGTCGTTGTCACGTAATAAAATAACTGAAACACCAGAAAGGGCGTTGCCGCCTCGGAATCCACCGGGAATCACAATTTTTTCTTTCACGGCGTTATCCTCGTGACCCAACGAACTTTTAATCAGATCAGGTAGATTTAGCTTATCTTTATCGTCTGTTGCTGTTATGCTATCCGGTCGCAGTATAAATCGTGCGATTAGAAAACGCTGTATTTCGATCCTGAACGACTGATCGAAAAATGGAAATGGTTTAAACTCCGAGAAACTCAGAGTTTTATCGGGTTCAGAGTATGTCGCACCCAGTTCAGCTTCATCGTGCGATAAAAACTGATGCGTTGCCTCAGCTTTTGTGGAACGCTCCACTCCCTGGCTGGTGCTTTCAACATCGTCCTCTAGCCTCAACATTTTTACGGCCAATTGAACATTTTCGGTAACCGGAAGCTCATGCTCTACGAGTTGTGTAATCGTGTCACCAGGGTTTTTGATAGTGTCTGCTGAATTCGTAAATTTCTTGGGTAATTCGCAGTCCGCAAACGGGTCACAATGGTGTGAAGCAAGAATATTAGCTTGGGGATCACCGGCATTTTCAGGCTCATTGTTCAGTCCCTTTTTAGCTCGGCTGAATGTCTCGAGCAACTCTAAGAGCTTGGCTGCAGATGGCCGTAAATCAGGAAGCGGAATCAGGCAGTTCTCAAGCAAAATGAGAATTCCTTCTGTTAGCAGCAGACAACGAGCAGGACTCTGATTCCCACACACCCGGTGGTCACATTTGTGCGCGCTTGGATACACCGGCTTGTATCCCATTTCGAAATACTTGTTCATATCTTTCAAAGTTACTTCAGAAGGCAATAAAGGTAAAGGGACGTCCCGAATGCCTCTCGTAAATGATGGAGGTCGACCTTTTTGAATCATTTGGATGATCACGCATCCGAAGCTCCATATATCGGTAGTCCGACCAACATGCTGCTTCTTTTGCTGAGGTAACGATGTGAGAGCCGCCATTTCCGGAGATACGAAAGGCACCGTGCCTGTCGCTATTCCTAGCGTTCTGGAAGGTGTTTTATCCCCGTGAAAATGTTTAATCATGGTTAGACCTGCAATTTTTACCAGTCGTTTATCTTTTAAGACAATAACATTAGCTCCTCGGATGTCTCGGTGAATTATGCAGTTCCTGTGCAAAAATTCCAAGCCTTTCAGGATTTGCTCAATGTATCCGAAAACGGTTCCCGAATTTTCATTCTTGCCTTGTAGCGCATACATATAACAGTCCAAAGGAAGGCCTAAAAATCACTGGGTTTTCACTTTTAATTTTGGTAGATTTGTTTTCAAAAAATTGCGTGCAAGGGCGTTTTCCTTGTTTCCCTAGTCCCAAAGCGTATCATCATGTTTAAGTAACTTATTGTTTCCGGTATTACAGTACTGTATAAAGCGCTGCTGCGCGTCATTAAACAACTCTCAGTCTCTGAGAATAAGAAGGTGCAGACACAAAAACTGACATGAATCTGCATCGCTTTATTCCATTTACTACGAACCTTGGTTTCGGATATCGCGTTTGTTTGTTTTGCTTTGTTTATTTTGCACGTCGTCAAACTACGATAATATTCATGTTTTCATGGTACCACTTTCCATGTTAGCGTCATTTTGTGGTGTTTTTTCTTGATGTTGTTCTGCTGTCTGAAGCCTAGAGGGGGCAACCGCTCCGTTGCAAGCACAATAAACTTCATTGTTATTATTATCCTATTGTTAACGTTATTGTTAACGTTATTATTGTTATTATTATCCTGTTGTTAACGTCGCATTTTCGCTCTCGAATACTTACTGTAATTTTCTCGGCAACTTTCGCTCTTCTGCTGATGCATGCTTGATGAGTGAAATGCCATTTCACTGAACAGGAAAATCACCCACCCCTGACTTGAATACGGTTTCCCCTTAGGGGTCCAAGTAAAATTTGATAAAAAGCAGAAGTAGGGATTACCTATACATTAAGAATTTAAGTAGCTACACATACGTTGTCTATGTGTACGAGTACACGTATACTTGGGAAAGTACCAGTAAAAATTGATTAACAGTATCAAACAACATTGTTTTCTACGTCAGAAAGTTACGTATGCGGTATATTTCTGTATACGTATGGGTATTGCAACATAAACGCAAGCAAAATACAGTGAAACCTCTCCTAAAATTCACTCTTTATAAAATACCCTTCTTTATAACATTCAGACCGTAAGGAACCGGATCGGCTCGTAGACTTTAACATAGGGTGGATTCTCTTTATAGCATTCACCTCTTTATAAGCCTTACATTCACCTCTTTATAAGCCTCTTTATAAGCCTTATGCGGCAACATCCGTGCGAGCTGGAGCAGCGGCAGCAAAAGCTGAACAGGATAAGGTAACCAAGTACCAGAACATCACCCATGACTACTTGTTCAGCGCTTTGGGCTTCGAGACGCTAGGACCCAACGGACCGGAAGCTACGCGCCTGCTCACGGAAGTGGGTAGGAGGATTCGGCAAGAAAGCGGCGAGGCACGAGCATTGGAGTATCTACGCCAACGGATCAGCATAGAAATCCAGCGCGGGAACGCAGCCTCCGTTCAGGGAACGGCTCCACCGGGAGCGAATTTAGATCAGTTGTTCTCTGTTCTTAGATCTCCCGAGGTTGTTTTGTGCTGATTGAGTGAACTTCGATGTGATTTTATTTGTTTTTCTGTAAGCGGAATGGGTATAATAAAAGATACTATTAGCCTTACATACACTTTCCGAGGAATCGAATGTATATTTATCGGTGTAGAGAGCCTCTACATAACATTCAGCACCGGTTGCATACAGCTAACCGGATGCAGTTTGATGCAGTGAGATCGCACCAATTAATCGAATACTTAATAATAATCAACTCCAAATCGTTTGGGTAAATGGTAATTAGTTTTACAAAGTCATGTCACCGGCAGCTCGAAGAAAGCTGGATACGTGGCTCAGCTCGCAGAAAATGCTAAGCGCCGGACATATTCGTTTGTGGAAAATGGAAATTTTTTTTATCCTTTAGTGATTGAAACGTTGGGAGTATTTGCCCCGCTTTCAGTGAACTGTTGCATTTCATGGGCCGTAAAATTCGAGACTTAACTGGAGAAGCGCGTTCTACTGCTTTCATTAAGCAGCGTTTTAGTCTCGCCGTTGTAAAAGGAAATGCTACGGCTGTTTTGAGCACGTTACCTTTTAACCCAAGAGAAGATAGAGATTTTGGTTGTTTTTATAATGTTTAAATTTTAACTTTCACGTAGTGTACCGGCGCTTGCAATCATTGTTATCTTGGCGTCTATTGCCCAATAAAGTTATGTTTTACAAAGTGCATCTCAGCAGAAAATTGTTATTTCATCAGTCATACAGTCACCTACACCACATTAAGATAAACTCTAAGCATAAACGTCAAAGTCATTCTGTTGGTAAATTTAAGAATATCTAGGCTGAATTGTGTTTCTTGTGTATGTGCTTGCTGGTGTCTCGTTAATTGTTAAAGTAATAAAACCTTGCTGTGCCCTCGCCCCCAATTTTTACCACTGCCCCTGGGGGCAGTGTCCCTGCATAAAATACACCCGAGATAACATACAAAATGGACGGAACCGTGCCTGTATTTTATAGAGAGGTTTCACTGTACGTGTATAAAGTACGTGCACCTGTTTCTTTCTAAAAAAAATTAGTAGTTGTGTCCGTAATTCGATAATAATGGTACATGTATCATAATGCCCACGATATTTTAAATTTTAACATTTTTCCTACTTTCAAATTCTAACATTTTTCCTAGTTACATTTAGAGATAACTTTAACGTATTTATACGTATTGTACTTCCGTTTGCTGCAGTAATATGTGTATGTATACATATAGCCTATAGGTACCGTTTACGACGTACGTCAAAGATAAATTTATTTTCTTATTTTTATTCAAGTTTTACTTTACAAAGTATGCGCATACCGGACTTACCTGTACATGTACAAGCCTGCCGGGATAACAAAATAAGCGTTCGTAAATACAGCGAACATTACAAATTTACGAGTTACGCTTAAATCCATACTACGGCGCGCCACACCACAATGTCTAGACATGTAACATGCATTTGGTTGGCAGGTGGCTTAGCGCACGCCAGATATTGTCTGGCGGAAGACCCTTTTTACCTAATTCCCGATTTTGACATTTAAAAGAAGCATGTGTATGTACCTTTTACACGTATTTTGCTTGCGTTTATGTTGCAATACTTTCTATTGTGCATAACGATGCACAGTACTTTCTACTGTGCATCGTTAATACGCTCAAGCTAGGCAGAATTTCTAAAGCCACTACTGCGGTACGCCGGTAGCCATCAAGATAATCATGTTAAACCGGCATTATTACTGCTATTATAGGATCATGTTGCTATGGTTTTAAATAACTCCGAACTCCGAAGAATATCCGATTCGAACAAGGTAAATTTTAAAACCGCTTGCGTTTTGCAAGGCGTTACGATTAACGGCTAAATTAACGACAATTTTACTTGTTAACGTTGTTAAGTCGAGTGGGCAACTCAAGACTGAATGCCCAAACAGAAAGCCACTGGCTAGACTGTCAGGTCTATACAGCCTCCGTGCTCAGAGGTCTATGTGAGGGCAATCGCTCTATACTGAAGCTCCCCTTTTTTATTAACGAGACAATACGTTCTTCGTTTCGTTGATAACGACGGGTAATGCCGTTAAGAGGTTCTTAATCGTACTCCGTCCCTAATTCTACAGTCAATCGTATGCCTTTCTTCATACCGCAACCTGCTTACTGCTTGATACTTTACGTTTACGTAAGTAATAAACAGTCTGTGTACATAAATCATAAACAGACAATAGCGCTTACCTTCGCAGTTTTCCGCCAAAATGTAGCATATTCTTGGAATCCCTGCTTTCGGAACTGTGTAATCGATACCGTAATAGCGCTGCACATTAATACTTGTACCGTCCATGTCAGTTGTAAAAGCTGTTATAAGTGGTAGAATGCTTAGCCGTAATTGTTCCATTTCGGTCTTTGAATCAGTACGTTTCGCTGGTTTCGCAAGAAGTTCGTAAGTACAGCCAACTTCAATATTCTCCTCGAAATTGTCGAATTCACCATTTTCGAAATCATCGTTGTGTGATAGCTGAAGAAAGCCGTTTTCTTGCGTTGTGGTTGCCCGCTCCTCCAGCTTAATCTGATAAACCGTGAAACCGTTGGAGAATTTTTGTTCAAAATTGGTTGCGTATAAATATTTGCCAGCCATAGCGAATATGCCAGTTTTTCCATTCAAAGAAGCCTACAAAGAAAGAAAATAAATGACAAGAACGATTAAGGCTTTACTTATGAATCGTTTATCGTCGCTTAACATATGTTCGTTTTACGATACAAATAAAAATATTATTCAACAACTATACTTTAGGACAGTTGATGTTGTCGTTCTTTGGTTTACGTTGATCGCGTTATAGACAGTGCAAATGCCGGTAGTGCACAGATGGTGGTGCCTCGCATTTTTATAATGCACATGATATTGCTGTTTTCTGATGTACTACGTGTCGGGTACGTAATCAATCTGATAATTTTTCTATATTTAGCCGCTGGCTGCCAAGTTGCTACTTACCCGCTTTCTGAATTCACCTAAAACTTCTCGCGCAAAGGAACCACGCTCTGACTCAGCTTGCTAAACGGCAAGGAGGACTATAATTACTATTTTATCGACGCGTTGCCGCAGCAGCTGTATGTATCGCTATACTCAGTAGTACCACTTTACTGATTTACCCCACAAGTTGAAAATAATATGCAATGCCACGTTGTAATGTATACAGTCAGTGCACTATCGTAGTCGAAATCGAAACATATTTGCCTCTTAGCGGCGTTACTACGCCCGGCCCGGCCGGAAGAATATGCACGCCGTTTTAGAATTTAGATGTATGAGTACACAACACTGTCTTACAAGAACTCAAGAACCAAGCCCTGTAAAACTGGCAATAAGATTTCAGTCAGCAGCGCACTGCAAAAGTTACATAAGCTGGCTTTCATAGCGGCATTTGTCATACATAACTAGTCAATGTTGTGTTCTCATTGTTCAGTAATTACAGAACTCGAGAACCTTAAGAAGATATCGGCAAAGATTACGTACCAGTTTGCGAGAATATTATTAGACATTATTTATTTGAAACAGAATGCCTAAATGTGCAGTCTGAAGTGACATCAAGAATGGATTCAAGTACCACTTTGCTAAATGCATCTTACGCCTCTGACGCCGCAACATTCAACAGCGGACAAGCTGGATATGTCTTCTCGCGCACAACGGCCACAAGCGGAGAATTGTTTGCTCCACCGAAGTAAGGCCCTACTGTACTGTGGCCGGCACTGGCCAAATGCTACTTATATTTCTGTGACTTTTTCTGCAAAGTTTTTGTGAGCATCGTATAGTAAAGTTACAGGATGCATAAGCAGTTTGTGTCCGTTGACTGAAGCAGAAGTAGTACGTACTACGTAGCACTGCACTGATGAAATCCAGTCGTGCAACCGATCAGTAGTTTGTTTTATCAGTAGTGTTTTAACTAAATTTTTGCATGACGGAACCGCACAAGCACTTGCAAAAGGTTACAAATTTAATAATGTTTGGGTCATTACAATGTATATTTTTCGAATGCTTTGTACACAAAATTCGTATAATAATTTCAAATATTTCACGTTGCGGACTTGCTGTTGCTCCAGGGAAATTAAAATCAGCAGCGGTTAAGTACCTTAATATGTAGGTCCAATGAGTACCAATCGATTTGCCTTATTCGCGTTTATATAATACGAGTTTATAATAATATTTACAGCATCACTTCGCTGGCTCACTTACCGTGGGTTTTTCATTACCTGGGCCCGATCATTGTAGCAAGCTTGGTGCTGGCTGTATTGATTATCGATTTTCTCATCCATCATTGTTGTGATATATGGAAAGAACTAGTTACTTTTGTGAAGGAGTGGCCATTCTTATTCATTCGTGGGACATGTGTCTTCTTTTTAAACGCGTGTTCACTGCGTTTGAACTTCTTTATTCCTTACTGGAGTGATGACAGGTAATTGGCTAACCACCAGTTATAGAAGCACGGCCATTTTCTCGTCTGACGTATTCTGACGTAAGCAAAAACCTGATATAATAAACCTTGATTTCCACTTCACTGTTCTTTAGAAAGAAACTGTTCTTTAGAAAGCTGAATGGCGGATGGTACAGCAAGCTCGACTCCGAATATTGGCGAATGACTTTCTGGGATCTGCTTATAAATGCTTCCTTACTGTTTCTGCTGTTTTTAAAACCCTTACAGGTTATATGTTTAAAATACGTGATTTTCAGTCCCTGTTACTGTATTTTTATATAACAGATGGAAACAAATGCAGGCGGTGCATCACCTCGTGAGATGTTTCATCGGATGTGTGAAAGCTACATCAGATTTTTTAAAATAAAGGACTTCAAGATGCTGTCCAGGAAGAAAAAATGGTCCTCCATTAAAGCTAGAGCGTCCAGATTGCTGCGCGACTGGGAAGTTATTGTCAACGCAGCGAATTTTCTCCTGATTACATATGAGATTGATTACGTGTTTGGCCTGAATAGCATTACGAATTTAACGCACTGGAGATTTACCTTGCCCAGTGAGTGTTTTATTTCCAGAATAAATCATATCCTGCTTAGAATCAGCAGCATAATTTATTTTTGCGTATCTAGGCCTACAGTTCCTACGCTTACTCTGCATCGTGTGGGCGGGCGACGAGTTACTGGGCGTATTTCGCAACATTCCGATTTCGATTGCTGTAATTTTTCGACGAACGACACGGATCGTCTGCTGCTTTTTCTGTTTTGCTGCTTGGATACAGCTGGTGAGTTTCTAGTGCCTAAAATTATGCGACGAACGTTTTCGAAAACCAGAACTACGCACCGTCTGTCGACATGAGCCACCTGGCCCATTTGACGGCAACAAAACAAATAGCCATTACATCAAATGGGGTAGGAGACTGACACAGACTGAGCTTCTGACCACTAATTATATGCTTTAGCGCATTATAATCGATTTGAAGTGCAATTCACGTGACACCCCATTCCCAGGTAGTCGCGGAAGATTCCGTTGCACACGTTTCGTCATCCTTATTTCGTAACAGCTCGTTGCGTAACCCTTTCGTTGGGTACTAAAACGATGCTCTTAAAGCATCTCAAATCGAATTGCTTACTCAGCGCTTTGAGGGAGCTTACTGACTGTACAGGTTGGAAGAGGATACGAGGTCACGACTCACGAAGCGCTATGATTACGATTACCAGAAAGGAGAAACACGAGTTCACTATGCGGCCAGATCGCAGGCCTTTATTTATTATCCCGTACGAACGGAAAAGGACACAAAACTAAAATCAAGTTTAGAATTATAAAATGGGCAGCTTCCGATAAATGTGTCTAGTCATGCTATCCGCATGGTGAGCTGGTCAGAACAGGTAGCCACACATGGTGAGACCGCTTAGACAACATTCATTCGCTTTAGTACCGTTTTATCGCAAGACATTTGGGAGTAGGACAGTTATCGAAAGGCAACGAACAATCAGGATATTCGCCACAAAATTGAAATATGACTAAACGTCCGCTGACTCTCTCCGACGAAAACGTCCCAAAGTATAGAAGTGTACCGTTAAGAAATACAGAGACCAGGCATTGATTAAGTGGCACCATGGTAATTCACATTATTATGAAACCCATAAAAGAGAGAAAACGATTTTATTGGAGTAGTTTACCTATCTTATCACCTTCGCCCGCCTGCAGTGAGACGTCGCGGCAGGAGTTATGGTTAAATCTGGTTCATGAACGCCTTGTTCAACCACAGGTGACGACAGAAAAACAATTTGAGTGGAATAGTTTCCCCTTATCACCGTGGGTTCAGGATGAATCCAGGACAGTAGCCCAGACTGACAGGACTCTGTGTAGTGTAGGACGTAACGTTTATGGGAGAAAAGCACAACGCTCGACATCCAGTTATCGTAATACACTTTTATTAGCGTTCTCGCTCACGGCTAAATCAACACTGTCTAGACCTCGCTTTTAGCGCCAAGTTCAATCCGCTCTCAGCGGTGTTACACAAAGAACGGCAGTAGCCGTCAGCCAATCAGAAAAGAGACACGTCACAGACGGCAATTCCCCACGGTGTAGTGCAACGAAGCATTCGCGTAGCGTCACGAAAGTGAAGGCAGGGCAGCCATCGCCTCACACCCTGATATGCTGTACGGAACAATGGTACAACGACCAGCCACACAAATGCACGGAAACTTTCGAAACAACTAGCCGCATAAAGCAATCGCAAAGTACCGGCTGTGTTTTGCAAATGAATGGCTGTCGCATTCAGCCAGTTCTCGATCGGATTTACTGAATTGGAAATCTCTTGCAGCAGCGAGATCGGCGTACGCTGTCATGCAGCTGAGCGTTTATAATATCTCGTATCCCCTAGCACAAGCGTTGCACATAATTTAATTGTCAAATCCAGAAAGGGAAGAAACTCCTTAAACCGCTTACGTAATATCGGGTTGGAGGATTGTGTTGCGGGAATGTATCTGGCGGAATCCGGCGCAATACATACGCACCCTGTTCAGCCATAACGTCCAACTCCAGCCGGATGATGGCAGCAGATATACAATGGACGACAAAACTTACTTAACCTAGGAACCGGATTTGCGGTTTTAGACAAAGAACAGAGAGATCATGGCTGCCGCGTTTCTGCTCAGTGACCTGATATAGCGGCGGATATGCGGCGCTCACTCATCGTATGCGCTGTAAGCCGACAGCGGTTAACGGTCCGGAGTTAAGTAAATTTTGTCACCCATTGTGGTGGTCGGTCCAAGGCGTTTTATTTGCTTTCTTTTTCCTGTATTCACCAGTTACCCTTGCCTCCCACCCGACTATTAAAATGCACGTTCGATCAGTTTGTCACCCCTGCCATATCTGGATCGGGGCTGATGCAATACGCTAATACGCTGTATTATTGTTCCCAGGTTCTGTTACTGTAGACACAAACAATGCAATACACAAAGGGGGTGCTTTGTTATTTACTGACAAACACACCCGCGTACAAGCGGGAACAACGTCTAAAAAAAATCATTTCAAATCCCGATCGTTGCCGGACGCAGTGCCAAGTGTGAGCGCATACACTGCGAACGGCTGCTATATATACTCATACCATATACTGCACGCTGACCATCAGAATACTAACAGACTGAACAGACCACTGCGTTCCGCCCACCGTCACCAGGTCCAATAATTAATACAGATTACTGCGATAATCTTTCCCATAAACCCGACCCTTGCACTAAATTCGACACGTACGAAACAATGACGCATAGCCATTTGCCACACTGTCGTGTTAGCACACATAAAGTTCCCACGCGACCGGTATAAGATCGTATTCGAGGCTTACTGCACATTTTTATTCGCCCGATGTATTGTCAGAATTTGTATGTTCAGGACAACAACTACGGTTTGACTACGAGTAGTTAAAATAATAGGCAATTAGGCACAGGAAACGCAGTGGTTAGTGCACACATGAAATAACTTGTCTCGTGTGATCAGATATTCAGGGCTACCCATATCTGTAAGACGCACTGTTAAAAACTCGCTTGAAACCCAATAACTCAATCATGTGTACAGTGTACTTGTTTTCTTACCTTCAGATGGAAATACTGGGAGACCCATACACGGAATACAATGGTCAAAAGGATTTAACATATGGCAAAGTTGTGGCATTTCTCTATGGAAAACTGGTGTACCTGGACGTGATATCGATTCAGTTGCACACAACCTTAGCTAGAATATCCGTTTATGTTGTGCAAGCCATTAACTTGGTAAATTCATTAAAAATTAACAAAAATGGTGGCACGACATTTGTTACTGCGATAATCATTAAGCTGTGGCACGAGTGCTTGGCCTTTTTCGGTTGTGCAACACAAAGGCCTTATGGATGATTTTTTAATTGTTTTGCAGCTATTCATTGCGCAACTTATACCGGACATGTTGAAGCAGCTACCAAACATTTTACGGCTTCGCTCGTTTGGCAAAGTTTACAGGAAAGGGGATAAAGCGTACGTAAGACCACCGAAGTAGAACTTCCATAATTTATGGTGTTATGGTCTATATTGGTTAGGTTTGTGCTGCTACTCGGATCAGTGGGACCGAATGCTGTTGAGCAATTTGCCGAAGACTTCTACATTAGCAATCGAGAAGAAAATATCTTGGTACTCCTAGAGTGAGTGCTGGCATAAGGAAACAATGTCACAAGGGCAAAACTTGCCGTAGTTGTTAGATGACGAAACAAATTGTCTTATTAGATCAGCTGCCTCATCATGTGCCACAGAAGAGATGCACAGTGTTGCCCGGAAGCACAAGCGAAATTTGACCGTTGTCACTGGGTCGGTATTTAACCAGGCTGACATTGACAAAAACATCTCCGACATGTGTCGCTGTGCTTTTGTCCTTGCTAACGAAAGTGCGCCAAACCCAGAAGAAGAAGACCACCGTAATTACCTTAGTGTGCATGTGCTGAAGCAACATCGCTCCAGACTTCGTGTCATTGTTAAAGTCCTTATGCTCCATAACAAGGTAATAGTGAGCGCTTTGCGCTTTCAGTATCGGTTAACGCTATTTACTGGTACTCGATCAATTATTACGTAGTTTTAATGAGTAACCACATGGAATACAGGTTTCGAACCAAAATCCACACAAAGCAAATCTACAAAGTGATTAATATTAATAAACAGTGGCTGAATGAAATCGAATTTACCGTAAAGTAAGCGTAATTGAGTTCTTGATAGGGGGACGGGGACGGATAGGAGCTGCAGCATACAGAGCGGGTGTACTGATCTCTACCGATATACTCTCTCTATGTTGAAACATCGAGCGAAATCAGAGCGCTCCCGACCACCTAGTAGGAAACCAGTTACGCTTGCTTTACGGCAAATTCAATTTTCTTCCGCCACTGTATAATATTAATCACTTTGAAATCTACCAATCTGGAAAACCTGACACAAGAGAGTAGCAGAAGCCTGAAAGAGAAAGCCCCCACATGTCACAATGTCACACAAATCAATTATGCTCCTCAAACAATCAATCATGCTCATTAAACATGCTCTTCAAACGTGTGATCAATCATGCTCTTTAGTCTTTAAACAAGTTTCTGAAGCGCAACTGATATATTGATACAGGTATCGGTCGTGCTAGCGCGCGACCAGCTGTGTTCTAGGTATGGAAGAAAGAAAGAAATTACAAAATGTACATACTTCGAACAGCGATTTTGAGAAATATTTCAAATGTAAAGCCTCAGCGAGGCCAGCTACGAAGATATTTTAAACATTTAGAATGCAGACAGCTTTCAAGCTTACCGGTTAAATTCGAACATCTTTATAGAAATTTATTGTAAAAACTATAAAAATTTGTAAAATATATTCTTTATTGTAAAATTTATTCTTTATTGAAAAAACCTCGTAATTTTTCTTTTTGTTTGTATTTTTCACGTTTTTTATGTAACTTTTTTTTGCCGATCTAGCCCACTCAAAACTTCAATTTTTTGGTACGACAGATGGAAATGGAAACTTAAAAAATTAATGGAAACTTGTGGGAAACAATTAACAGTTGCTCAAGTGTCAAGGTGCCCTCTCGGGATCCATCTTCAGCTAATAATTGTAAGACTTTCAGCTCTTCAGTATTTAATAAAATAAAATACGTGCGTATTTATTAGACATAACGGTTAGTGAATGCCCAAGCTACCAGCAGTATTAAAGAGAAACGTAGGTCAATGAATACTTCTACCCGAGCTACCACCAGTATTACAGAGCAACTTAAGTTAGTGAATGCCCAAGCTACCAACAGTATTACAGAGCAACGTAGGTTAATGAGCACTTAAGCTACCACCAGTAATATAGAGGAACGTAGGTTAGTGAATGCCCCAGCGACCAGTAATATGCAGCAACATAGGTCAGTGAATGCCAAGGCCCAAAGCTACCACCAGTATTACAGAGCAACGTAGGTTAGTGAATACCCAAGCTACCACCAGTATCACAGAGCCGCTACGTGAGTGGATACGGTAAACGAGCCGCGGGCCGGCTTTTAGATTAGAAATCTAGATATAGAACAGATGCTTTAGATCGTGAGATATTGAGGTATTAGATTTCTAGATATTTTTATAATTTCGAAACTCTGGAGGCTCAAAAAATTAGGGGTAACGGCCCCGCTGGGCCAAGCCGAAATATTTAGAAATATTTTAAAATTTTGGAAATGTAAAAGCTTATGAGCCGACTCTGGAAAATTTTATAGTTGAGGTATTCGAACAGATTTAAAGAACATCTTAAAGTTTCAAGAATTTAAACAAATAAAATTACGTTTGATGCAATAAATGTAATAAATTATAAGTAATAAATAATAAGTTTTGATGTAATAAACTATAATTAGTTGTACCTTGTTTTTGTTGTTGTTGTTACGGATTTTACAGCGTAGTCGTATTTAAGTTATACCTGGAAACGGAAACGGAAACTTAAAAAATGGATGGAAATGGAAACTTAAAAAATTAATGGAAACTTGTGGGAAACAATTAACAGTTGCTCAAGTGTCAAGGTGCCCTTGACACCGAATGTGAAACTGCGTTACACATGCAGCAGCAATTCTCCTACATTTAAAAATATGGGTTTCAAAGCATATTCATCAGCAACCATGTATCTAGAACTTTCTAGAAGCTAACATTTAAGTACAGTACTATGACGTACTTACTACTAAATTTAGGTACTACAACTTCCAAAAATTCATGATACGCCGGCGATTAAGTGATAAGTACTACATTCAACTGCTACAACCTAAGTAAAGGTACTACTACACTGCTACATTCAAGTACAGCTGCCTTAAAAAGTTCAAGTACCAACAACCTCCAAGTACTACAACTTAAAAACTTTTTTAAGACCTTCTCCAAAACTTAAGATTTTTTTAAAGATAAAGGTGGGAACGTTTGTGCGATGCTCTATTTTATAGAATCAACAATTTTTTTCAAAATATAAATGTTGATTTAGGAGATAATTTCCAAAATTAACAGCCCTTAAGTACTAACAACCTTTAAGTACTACAACTTTTAAAAATTTTTTTAGACCTTCTCCAAATCTTAAGATTTTTTCAAATATAAAGGTAGGAACGTTTGTGCGATGCTCTATTTTATAAAATTATCAACTTATTGAAAAAGTCAATCTTGATTTAGGAGATAATTTTCCAAAAATATGTTATTTAAAATGCTAAAGGTTATCGAAGCAGTTAATAAATGACGCCAGTCATGACTGCAAATCCCTTCTGACATCGGTGTTATTGAATTTCGTTGTGTATCACAGGATCTGTTTTATGATATTCCCAACTGGAGTGATGAACGTAACCTCTGCTCTGGGAGACCGCCTGACAGGGTCGTTTGCGTTCCTGAGATTCATTTTGCACTGCTGGCACAAAGACATTTTGTACCTGCATTATCCAGTATTATTCATGACTGGCTTAATCCATCTGGGGATGAAACAATCCGGTCGTATGTCATACCACAGGATTATGGAGAACCAGCAACTCGAATTTCAATACGTGATATATCTACCGAACAAACGTTAGCAGGAGTAAGAAGTTTTTCTCCAGATACCGCCAACGCCCCTACGCTGGACGATGGTAACGCCAAACCATTACGCAACCTCACGCCAAACAAACTTTCATCAAACGCAAGCGTCGAAACGAATTCCGGTGAAAGCAGTTCACCAGCCTTCAAAACTCAGGATAAAATTGCCACTGATATCGTTGACCGCAACCATGATAATCCTTCAGAAGATCCTTCAGAAACCGAACGTCTCCTAAAAAAAAGCGAAGCGGACGGTAACAAACTTCCAGCTGAAAGCCGCGAAGATTTCACTCCCTCCCAGTCGGGAGAAAAAAGCACAGACCCTTGCGATACGACCAATGGTACCAAGAGTACTTCAACAGTTGAAGAGAATTCAAAAGTTTCTCGGCTTTCACCGGTTTCCGACTCGGGTGGAAATAACAGCAGGCTTCAAACCGAACCTCAAATCCCGCCCGCCGCTACTGCCATTTTAACAGAGCACCAAGCTAACGTCCAAAAAAATCACTCCGGCGTAGAATTCAAAGATGTAAAGGTGAGAATGATGCAGATAGTGCTGAGTATCGCACTGCTTTGATTTTGACCAGCGTTAAATCTTCAGAAAGCCTATGAAAAGCTAAAGGATGGGAGTCCGTTTGCGGTGCTGCAGGAAGGAGAGTACCATTTGTTCCCACGAGACAATCTGATTCTCGGACCTGGAACGCTGTTGTTCTATGTAAAGCATAGCCGTGATACGGGAACAAACAACCGAGCTGATGTTGCATACAATGAAGCAGCTAAAACTGCAGCTTACCGATATTTTGAACAGCCCCGCCAGCAAAAACAAGACTGAAATACAAATACGGTGAGTTGTAATTTGAGTGTTTTGCGCTATGGTCTGCGCAAAATAAATACCCCTGCAGACCTTCAATCTACGCTGATAGCCGCGTAAATTACTTACGTGACGTCTGATGATCTCAGTGTTTAGGGCGGACTAGTTCTTGAATACGGGCTTGTGTTCCAAACTCTAGTCCCAGGTTTCAATGCATGCACATCTACGTAAATTATGCTGTATTCCTGCATCTCTTTTATTTTAGGGATGTCAGCAAGGTCGATGTGTACGATAAAACGGGACAATATCAACTCAACCCTGAAGATCAGCTCTATTACATCGTAAACGATTTCGCTGAAATATGGCCTGATTATATTTTTTCTTTCTCTGTCATTCACATTTTTGTTGTCTAAAACATAATTATTTATTTTACTAACAGGATCCAGACAAATCCGACCAGGAAGACAGAGGATTGAGCTTGTGTCGCGACCATATCGTTGTTTGCATTGTATCGGACGGATCTCCTGCTTTCATTGGGCTGATGGGCTTCCTCAAACCATTGCGGGCTGCCCAAATCGCCCGCACAACGGTTGTCATTTTGGCAAATAAGAAATTTCTCGACTTAGAAGCACCCACTATTAACAAGTTTTCTGACGTGCTTTTTGTCCAGGTACGACCGTAAGAACACTAAAAAGTTCAACTTTTGTTAAAGCTAGCGGTATCTACCGGTGAATCACCGCGTCATCAATTAGCAGTAAACAGTTTTGGAAATTTGTAACTGTGATTCAGTTCTTCTGTTTCTGAATTAGTGTTAAAAACAAGCAAAAACGTTGAATAGCCAGCACAATAACATTATTTTATTATTCGCAGTAACTGCTTGTGGATTCAGTACTCGTATGCTCAAAACGTGGCCCAAAGCAGCCCAAAATAGTACATTTAACAGCGGGATGCGGATAATGCCATAATGGTTCATCCTTGCTTGTGATAACTGCTCACAGTGCTCATTGATTTTGTAATTCTTAGAAAATTTTTCCCTCTTATCACCGAAGGTTAATGAGCCGAAAGCTAACTTTTAGTTTGGAGCATTTTCAGTCTTTTTGAATCCAACTTATTATAATAATCTGGGAAATTGCAGGGTACTCCATTCAATGACGACCACCTACTTGCTGTAAATGTTCAACTGTCCCGATTGTGCGTAATAATTGATGCGAGTGAAACCACTAAGAAACTTGGGGATGACACCCACCCAGCCGCCGATACACAGTTTCCCGCCTTATCAAAATATTTCAACCGACACGGGACGGCCGTTCGAGCAACTTCTGCTGTAGCCGAGTTCATTAGAAAACATCATGACAGAACTACAACCTTGCCAGAAAACATTACGGCTGCTGTAGCGGACATTGCGAGCAGAATCATTTCTCCAAGCCAGGAAGCCTCCATAAAAGAGTCTGTGGAAGCCTCTATAAAAGAGTATTTACTGGAAGTCCGGAGTTATGACAGCGAGTATAAAAAAACTGCAACGGAAAAAATAATGAAGCTCTTGAGACAGCGTGACAGAAAGCACGAACGGCTTATAAGGTTCATTAAAACGCTGTACGAAAGTTCCCAGCAGTGGGATATCGGCGTTATTGAAAAATTTGTGGACATATCCATTGATAAACGCAGAGACGCATCGTCTGCTGAAACCGCTAATAAAGTAAAAGAAGTTCTTGTTAATTTCCGCAACGAATGTGAACACTTACTTGAAGCTAGGACGCCCCAGTTGTTGAAATCTTGTGGAAGCGAAATATTGGAAGATATAAAAGGACTCATGCGAAATTTTCGACAGTATGTTTTTCCATCCGGAGAAATCTTCACATGCATGCGTAAGACGACGAGCGATACTTGTAATCATCAGTGCTTAGAAACTGCAAAATAAGTGCAACATAATTAATTAATTCTATTACTATCAACTGTGAATTTGAAAACGAGCTGCAAATCTCTTTCCATGAATCACCATCTAAATTTACACTGAAAACTCGAACGCTCTCTTTGACTAACGATGATGTCGTGTAATTTATGCGCATTGTGTAATATGTCGTTTATACGTAGATCACGAAGCACTGGACTGCATATCATGGAATCAGAATATCATTGGAAGTTCAAAGGTGACAGTGGACAGCAGTAATCACAGCTTTATCAACGCAATGATGATTAAATGTTACCGGGATGTTGAAGTATTTGACGTTATCCGGTTGCTGCTGATTAATGGATATAAAAATGCTTTCCACGAAAACTTGAGCCGCAAAATTTCGGGATGCCCGTTTGTTGGGAACCAGGCTATCTTAACCCAGCTGTATGCTGTCAGCAAAGATGGTACAATAACTGGGTTTCGAAAGCGCCACAATGCAGACATAACGGCCGAACGACAAGGAATCGACGTGCAAATCCTTGCAAGACAGCCTGCGTCTACAAGCAGTGCAGCAGCAGCTGTCAGCGGTGCTGTACGTAGCAGTCCAACAGAAAATTTTCCGCGTGAAGGTCGTGACGTTACAGTTCATGGAGGGGACAAACGACCAGAAGAAATAGACCTGCCGATTGCGGACGTTAATTGTTCATTTGGTACATTTTCGGAAGAGGCCATGAAAACGGGATATCTCGTTCTGGGAACGGAATTTCCGGTGGATAAAAACATATTAATGCGGGATATGCCAGACGGCTGTTCTTTAGTGGTCCTCGAAAGACCGTGGTACGTGGCAGCCCGTCAGAGACTTATCAAGGCAGTGATGGACTGGTGGGCTAACAATGGCAAACCAGAACCAAAAAGGTAATTATTACAGAAAATGTATGTCCGACTTTCCTTTCCACAACATCTATTGTTTAAGGTGGCAGAGATTTATGGAGATTTTACCGTCCTATGTTCTAAGTCGCACCGAAAGGGAAAGCGGAGTGAACATCGGAAATCCATATATGGATCATAGCCCAACCAAGTGGCTTAAAGCGTACTACGGCATTACGAAGGACGTATTCAACCTGGTTAGTGCTGGCGAAAATTACTCTTCGAAAACCTGTCTCAGTCTGAGCGCTTCATTGCTTGGCTCCGAGCGCTGGGGCTTAAATTTTTAATTTACTCTGTATATGATTTTAATAATTACCACGTCGCGGCCAAAAACAAAAACTAACTTTCGGCCTTTCGAAGGCGATCTCGGCGGTGAATTCGTAAAGCCGGTTCCTTGAGATCTTCGTTTTTTTCCATAAGTACAGTATTAACCCGGCTTGCAATTACCGGGAAAGCTGAGGAGCTGTGAGAGACAATTAACGTGAGATAATGGAGCTGTAAATCCGAATGACTTAAATCAAGATCCGCCCTTCTTCAAACACTTCTGTACGGCTAAAATGGAAGAAAGCTGAAACTGTTAGCCAAAAAATTGTACAGCTAAAAATATTATATAAAATTTATAAAGAGGCACGACGTTGTTCGCGGTTGCACTGATTCGTGTTGCAGCAGGTGGCGGTGGCTGTCACTCAAGAACAGGTAGAACCAGTTTAATTCGTGCTCTGACTTATTCGTTGTTCATGGTAAAAGGCTGTAATAAAGTGTGCACTCATTGTAAACAATAATATTAGCGTACAAGTACATTTCCATTCCGCAGTTGAATCCCGTAACGTCCGAGAGTGAAGACTGCGGAGCGACAGGCGAAAATTCCGGAAAAGGAAAAGCATTGGATACGAGCACAGAACTGAAGAAGTTGCCTATGGCGATCTTCCACTTCATCAGAGAAACTTACAATAACCCAACAGCAGACTTCGAAAATAAGTCGCCCGGAACGTACTATTACGATACTGGTAATGACGAAGCACTTAAAAATTCTCATAATATATCGTGGAACAACATCTTGGCAGTGTGCTCTAATGGCACGCTCACCTCAGCGTGATTTTGGTGCTGTCTTGATTTTCCACGCAGTCCGCCCCGCCACGGATATGGATAAATTTCATGCCCAAGCGCAAAACTAGTGTTATTTTTTATACTGCATTGGTTTTTTTTTTCCATTATCGCAACCTTACCGATCTTTGCATCGATGGCCGTTTTCAGGCTCTTCGTACTACTTACTGTGTATTCAAATGGCTGTTCACTAATTGTCGGTTGTCGTGCAAAAGGAGTTAATGACGAACTAATTACGGTAACAGCCATTTGATTAACTAGGAAAGTGCACTCGCTTTTTGCGGACTCTGTCCTGAGTGACTGGCACCCCCTTTTTACTGTGGGCACTATTCTTCGATTATTTATTGCTATCATCCCGGCTGTTATAATTTTTAATACAATGATAAGTGAAATCTTGGCCTCGGGCCCCGGTACGCATTTACGCAAAATTTCGCAAATACGTAAATGTTTCGAACACATGTTTGAAACTGCACGAAAAATCATTATTTCTTCAGCTCTAGTGGAATAAGTTATACCGGTTCATGCAGTGTTATGAAAGGTCGCCGCCATAATATGAACATATGTAAAGCATGAAAGCAGTCAATGGCATAGTAAATCTGCTGAATGCGGAATGAAGTGTTGGATTCATGAAGTGTTGGATTCGTCGGTCACCGCCAGCAAATGCTCATATGCACGATGGCACCTGTTGGCGAATGCACACATGCACGGGGGCACTGTATGACCGAAGCGTAGCAGTAAATTCATAATCAAATTTTATCTACTTAACAGCAAACATTTGTAGAAAGATTGTTACGATTAGGAGATATTCAGAACAAAATCCTGTAGCATAAGCTCCCGGACTGACGAACATTGCACTGTTCTCAGAACAAAACAAAAATTATGGATGGGATATGTTTGCCAACTGTAATGCTAAATTTAATATTTCTGAAAACCTGATAGGAGGGAAATACTTGCAGTCTTACGGTTCAAATTACGGTGGACGTACATCTGAGCCGGCGGATGCATGGTTTCGCAGTTTATAGGCGTGTTGCTACGTAAACAGGTCGTTACCGTAAAACCATTCATCCATAACATATCCACATGAAAATATTCCAAGAATAAACTCGGTGAAATTTTACGGCCAGGTTAAATCTATGCTAAAACAAACAGTATTGGAAAAACTGCCGGAAGTATAAAATCAAACTCTTCGCTATCTAGTATGAAGAAATGTTAGGCGCCAGAGCCTAATTGTAGCATCCGGATTCGATAGGCACCTCGCCGGGCACTCTTCCTTGCCGTTGATCGCCTTGATGCTCGCTCCGAATTTCCCCTCTCCCACCCAGGGATAGTTGTGCACGGCGGCGCCCCAGTAGCAGTAGGCGGTGGCCCAGGCGATGTCCTCGTCGTCAGCCACCTGGTCTGGGTTCTCCACCAAGCGGTCATCGTGATACAGCGCCTGCGAGGCCTTGCGGTAGTTGTCCTCCCACGTCAGCTGCATGTAGCCGCGTCCGTAGTACTTCTCGTACTCCGGTTGGGGCGAGATCTGCTTCTTGTAGCGCAGTCCGCCGGATTCGTGGAGAATGTTGGCCAGGAACATGGCCAGCTCGCGGCGGCTGGTGATTTTGCCGTTGGGAGCGCCTTTGGCGAAACTCTCGTACTGGGCGTCCGTCGGCTGCGGGAAACCGTTGCTGGTTACGGCCTGCCGGAACTCGTCTTTGCTGACCAGGTATCCAGACATGGTGATTTATAGCAACACTTTTTAACTGTGTAAAGCTATGGTTAGTCGAAAGGTTTGATACAACCTACTGGTAAATAATGGAAATTTAACCGCAGCTTATATACACAACAGATAACTGGGTAGCGACCAAAGAAGGAACAACATTCTTGTACGTTCAGCATTTGTCATGTGCTTATCAGCTATGAGTCCGTATGACTGTGTTATCGCATAATTGATCACTGAGTGTACGGTGCATTCTGATTACCGAGCCCTTCTGTTGACCAACTTTTGTTTGCGTTCCTAGTCTAATCAGATATTATTATTTCCGGTCTGGGGGAGCGAAAATGTACATGCGTAACTACCACCGGTCGCGAATTCGTAATTCTTAATTGCCCGGGCTTATCTGCGTTAAATAACAAGGTGTAAGGAGGAGTGGCCTCCCCGCACACCCGCACTGGTGCGGGTGCTAAGTTGTTTTGCTGTTTTCCGATAGTGATTTTCTCCATCTGCCAGATCTTCGATCTGGTAGATTCTTCAGTTGCTAGCCATCGTCGTCTGAGTAACTTGCTGTTCTTTTAGCCCCGCAGCATTCTGCTGCGGGAGCATCTGTAGTGACATATGAATGGGATATAAAAGTGTACTACGTAAACTGGATGTCGTGCGTTGCGCATCTATCCCTAGTTAGTTACGTCATACACTACACAGGGTCCTGTCAGTCTGGATCACTGTCCTGGACTCTTTCACGGTCCACGGTAATATTCTAAGCAGGGCGCAATCCGAGGGAAACCGAGAAACGGCTGAAAAAGGCGCCGATGGGGGAATCGAACCCCGGCTACGTCGTGAGATCCGCGTAGGCAGTACCACTGCACCACGGCGCAATGCGTTGAAATCCTTTGAAAGATTTTGTCGCTGTACGTGAGCCGCTTCTCCGCTCACAAAGGGAACAGCATAATACGCAACAAATTCACTTGAACAGCTCTGTGGCTACAGCCTATATATACGTACTTTGCCTGTGCATTTCACAAACCCATTGTGCAATACCGCTAACTGAAATATTACTGAAATAACTTACTGAATCCACGGCCATTTTGATCAGGCGTCAAGAAAAATAGTGCCAAAATTATCAGCTAAATTTATTGCTTTTTTTATGAATATTCCCCCTCAGAAACCGCATTTGTATTGAAAATTTAGTTTATATATACGGCAAACAAGTTACAATACGGGTCAGCATGGGATCTCTTTTTACTGTTTACGATACGGTACGGTATAGATGGGAATAAATTCGTAGAAGAAAATAAATAAATTAAGATCAGAGACACTCATAATCCAACCAAAAACCCATTAAAAAGAGTTCCATACTGGGCCGCAGTCAAAGGCGGTTAAAGTATACACCAAGAAAATATATTCTCATTTGTCACGTTAATAAATCATCATACAGTAACCTTCTACAATAAAATGAATAATAAACATACTAAACTAGCGTGACTAAACTCTTTAAAAGGTTTTGAGACAAAATTATGCTCACATTAAACAGAAATTGTCAGAAATTAAGCGCTCTTGAGCTCATCAATGATTTCAACCAGAAATGAACCCTAAACAAAGCCAGAGATCTGCTACGATAAAATCCTAAACAGCAGCGCTGAGAAAATCTGCTTAATATTCATTGGAGACCAAACAAGGTTATACTGCCTAAATGTAACATCCCGATTCGATGGGCACCTCTCCGGGCACGAAGACGGCCAGGACGCGTTTGTAGTACTGGAAGCGGGCGGTGGCCTGGTCGCGGTTCTGTCCGTGGCACTCGCGGGCCCCGTTAATCGCCTGGATGGTCTCCCCGAACTTCCCTTCCGCCACCCGGGGGCGGGAGTGCACGTTGGTGGCCCAGAACCAGAAGGCGGTGGCCCAGGCGACGTCCTCGTTGTCGGCGACCATATCGGGATTTCTCAGCAAACGATCGTCGTGGTACAGTGCTTGGGACGCGGCGCGGTAGTTGGCTTCCCAGGTCAGCTGGATGTATCCGCGTCCGTAATACTTCCCGTACGCCGGGAGGGGATGCTGCTCCCTCTTCTTCCGCAGTCCGCCAGATTCGTGGATAATGTTGGCCAGGAACATGGACAGTTCGCGGCGTGTGCTGATGTTGCCTCGGGGAGCGCCGCTGACGAAGCTCTTGTACTGGGCATTCGTCGGTGCCGGGAAGCCGTTGCTGGTGACCGCCTTCCGGAACTCCTCGTCACTAACCAGATCTTCTGGCATGGTTGTTTGCTTAACCGCTTTGACAGTGTGTTCTGCTTAATCTGAAAAGTGACAATCGATCGCGTAGTAACCAGCTTATACGACAAATACACTAGACGTACTGCGAGAAATTAAGAATTATTAGAACATAAACATCACTGTTTTGCGTCTGGAAATTTTTGATCGAAAACTATGAAAATTGTCCTCTTCAGTCTTCAGGTAGTTTGAGTAGAACGAGGTCAAACGGTCGCTCTGCATAAAGCGAAGTGATACGGATACAGGATCTCGCACAAGGTGCAAATGACTGCAACAGGCTACTGCAGTTGCAGTACATCATGTTCGAGGTTAAAATTTAATCAGGCTTTAGTTAATCGGTGTCATATGTCAGACGATATTAAAACTATAGTTTTCACACCAAAGGTCATTCTGTAGGACCGTAAGCGTACTACGGTTGGTGAGATCTTATGAAATGCATTCTGGAAAATCGGTCTGAACGACCCCCGCCACAACGGCACTGGTGATGACCAAGAAGCCAGCCATGTTTCGGAGCCCAACCAGCCGGAAGAAAATACGCTGCTGGATACAGTCAAGAATCTGACGCGCGTGATCGGCATGTTCTTACACAGATACCCCAAAATAAACAGCAAAAACGACAGTCTCCGGTTTTGAATTCACCGCTCAACAGAACGCATTTGTGCGGATGGCCTATGAAACTTTTGTTTGGTGACCTTTAGCGTGTATGCGGATACTCGGCTTCCGGCTACAGATCGTGTGACCAAGCAGAATTAGCCAACACTCTTTCATACTACCTCAATAAGCGTGAAATACATAATTTAGCGCGCGACTTGGGCTTGAAAATTGAAGCTCACTAACTCAAACTGCACTAGCGGCAAACGTTTGATTTCCAGCCAACGTTGAGCGCTTCTTTCCAAAGCAGCCGGCTGTGTGCGTACAGTACAGATAATCGAATAAGGACAGCGGATACAGGCGGTAACAACCGCCTGGCTGCCAGAGCCGTCACTTCCGGTCCTTCGAAGGACTTCCCGCGCATAGCGTGCACGAGGCCTGACGACGTGTGGTTCAACTTTGGCCGTATTTTTAGTATAGGTGCCCTATTCCTGGTGTGGTTGGCCGCCTCGTTGGGGTAGGTGCCACAGGTGACCCCGTCGGAGACACCGCAGCACGGTGTGACGCCCGGGTAACCGCGCGACGGCTTCCGCAGCAGCCACTCCCACAGATTCCGTAGTCCGGGACAGTCGCAGTCCGCGTCGGACGGGCACAACGGATTGGAATGCAGATTCAGTTTCGGGCGCACCCAAGGCGTGGACAGACTGTACAGCAGGCTGTCGTCGAGGTGCGTCAGACGGTTGCCGGCCAACGAAAGGGTCTCTAATGCCGGCATTGCAAAGTAATCACTGAAGAAGATTTCCCGCACTTCACTGTACATCACCGAGACTCTCTGCAAACAATAACAGAAAAGGGTTCAGAGTTACGCAGTAATATTAAAGCCGGTAAGGTTAAATGTGACGGCAAAAATCAATTCGTACCTCCAATGTTGCTGCCACCGGTGCGAAAACTGACTAATCAAATTTGGTAAAATTCCCTTCGTAAATGTGGATAGTAACGAATTTCGATGGATGTCCGTGGGACGCAAAGGCGTCGAGCGAGATGGCCGCTAAGTGGTTGCTCTTCAGCTGCAAGTCCGTCAGCAGCGGGAATCCCGCGAAGGTCTGGCGCGTCAGCGAAGGAATGTGGAGGCCCGCAAGACGCATCTCGGTGACGGTCGCTTGGACGTTGATGAGGAAGCTGCCCAGCGGGAAGGGCCCGTCATCCGGCGCCACCCACAAATCGAAGAGCCAGACGCTGGTCAGATTGGGCAGATGCGGCAGCGGTGTGAAGGTACTCAGCAAACAGCTCCCGCCGCAACCACCCTGGCTAATCGCATTACCGATCACCAAGCCAGTCAGATTGCGTGAAATAGCGCTGACATTGTACTCCCGCTTGTGGCAGCCGCAGCGTGGCCATCCGTCGTTACAATCCGGCAGGGCATAGCTGTAGGAAAAGGGAGTTCTTGAGGGTCCAAACCAGATGGGTATCCCCCTCTGTACAGGTCAGCACCGTGGACGTATTCGTCGGAATCTGCGCGCAGGAACACCGCTATTGCCGGATAATAATAAGAGCAGCATTACCAACACCTTGAATACTGATACGCGCCGCATTGCAGTCACCGAATATGGGGTATCCCGTGGCAGACTCAGAGAGCTTCAAATTTCTTGCAGATGATGGTCCCTCCTATCCAAAACTAAGTCAACACGACGGCACACGCAGGTAAGACATATACCAGTGTTACGGCAACGTGGAAGCGAAGAAACGGCAGTACAATGTTCGGCAACGCTTAATCACGGAGGCAGCTCCCACTGCAATGGAACAGGTTTTGTTTGGAAGAAACGGTTAATGCTCTACCGTGAATTTATCTGCGGCTGGTACTGCCGAGCAGTCGTGCACATTTGACGTATTAAAGTGTGTCAGCGCCCACGCGGATGCCGTGGCATCGTCATGATTCTACCACGGAATTTAAGGTCATGGATCTACCGTTTGGGTATTCACTCGCAGGAAATATAGCTCTTTCGAATTTCGGAATAAATACAGCGGACAATAGCCCTGAGCAGACCGAAAGCCGCGTTTATGTAAAGCAAGTGGCTTTACGGAAAATTGTCAGTGGACATTTTGCAGCGAAAACACTCGAGTAGCCAAGTGCATAGAAAGAGGATCGCGGCGGGCGAAGCGCACTGCACTAGTAAATATATGCAATACAGAAATTACGGTACAGGGCCGTACAATATAATAATATTATTACAATTTTATACCCTTTAATTACCGGTATAAGAGCGGATGTCAGTAGCCACCTAGATAATCCCCTGTACTGCTGCCGTCACCCGCCTGGAGTGTGACGTTACGGCAATACATATGGCTAAATCTGGCGCGGTACATAAGATTAAGCACCCTGTGGCCTGTATAGCCACAACGTCATGCTCTAGCCGGCTGCCGGCAGCAGTACTGAGGGGATTATCTAGGTGGGCCGCTGACATCCCCTCTTATACGAGTATCTGTACGGTATTGTTTCACTTCCTTTATCGGCAATAACCACCCAATTAACAGGAACTGCAAACGCTGGTGCACTCCTTAACTAAGTCAACGAAAGCAACTGCACTAACAGAAATACAGTAAATGGAGGCACCATCAGAAATAATTAAATCAAATTCGGCAGTGAATTGAATAGCAGTTAAAAAACGATCAAAATATGCCAAGATAAACAGATAAAGCAGAAGAAATCGCCCAACACCATATAAAAAGCCGTCAATTAACCGTAATTTCCTAATTATAGCATCCGGTCTCGATGGGCGTCTCTCCGGGCACAAAGATGGCCAGGATGCGTTTGTAGTACTGATAGCGGGCTTTGGACTGGTCCAGGTTTTCTCCGTTACACTCGTGCCAACCGTTGATGGCCTTGATGCTCGCGCCGAAATGCCCCTGTTGCACTCCGTCCTTAGCGTGCACATTGTCGCCCCAGAACCAGAAGCTGGTGTCCCAGGCGACCTGGTCGTCCTTCAGGATGAGGTCGGGATTCGTCAACAGACGGTCGTCATGGTACAATGCTGCGGACGCAGCCTTGTAGTTGTAATCCCAGGACAACTGGATGTAGCCGCGGCCGTAATACTTCCCGTACTCTGGCAGCGGGTGTTCCTCCTTGATCTTCTTGAGTCCGCCGGATTCGTGGATGATGTTGGCCAAGAACATGGCCAACTCGCGTTTGGTGGTGATGTGGCCGTTGGGAGCGCCTTTGACGAAATGATCGTACTGGGCGTCAGTCGGCTGCGGGAAACCGTTGCTGGTCACGGCTTTAAAGAATTGGTCCTTGGTGACAAGGTTTTTCGACGAGGAACCTGGAGAACCAGTTCGTCTCAAATCTGGTTAGGTTAAAGGTCAAGGAACGGCCTTACCTTGACTGTTAGTGGCTGGCGCCTTCGGGGTGGTCGGTTTCTGTGCCGGGCGAGTGGCGGCGGTGGTCTGCTTTCCAGCGGTGGGACTGGGCGCGGCTCCGCCGGCTTTCTTGCAGAATCCGAAGGTTTCGGCGCCGTTGTTGCATTTGAGACCGCTGCAGCACGGAAGGTGGCCGGCACAGCCGGCGTCCTCCGTCTGACAGGCTTCGATCACTGCGCTCTGCAATCAAGGAAGTCAGCTGATCATAAATGGCATTTACATTAAAATTAATAGTATTTATATAGTGTTAAACAATATTTGAAATAATAACAGTATTTAAAGAGTATAAATCAGTATTTACATAAATGAAATAGTGTTAACAATATTTGAAATGATAACAGTATTTAAATAGCATTAACCAGTATTTAGATTAAATAGTATTTTAGCAGTAATAAATAGTATTTAAGTTAAGCACCATTTGAGTACTTTAAATAAATAGTATTAAAAAGGGAATTTTTAAGGTGCCTTTTACAGCTGCAAAGCTTACCGAACAGGCGATAGCGAGCAGAATTACGGATAATCCTCGCATGGTTAATAAATGGAGCAATCCGTTAAATATAAAAAAAATTTCTTTAAGGTTTCACTGGTTTTCAAGCGCAGTTGTGAATGATAATATACTGATTACATGACTGCCTTATATTTTGTCCGGTCGTGCGACCAAGACTATGCTAACTAAAATCACATCACCAGTTTATACGAAGCCGAGCCATCGAATACGCACGTCAGCTTTATTAGAAGAACTTTCGGGTAGAAAAGTTGTTTTCTGACTGGAAATTCGCACGCATCAGCAACACGTGTGACACGATTTCGTGCTAAATGTAATGTGTACGCGTGAAACCGCCACTATATGCACTAACAGTTAGCGATGGGAAAACTGGCGTAAGCGGGAATTGTTTCAAGTACCTACTTATACGCTGTGGCGATTGCCTTGTCATCGTAGACAATAATTTGCTGCGCTTGCGCCGAGTTGCGCTCAGCAGAGGCGAACGTTAATTAAGATTTGTGAGGTATACATACTGTAAGTTTAACATGTTACCGCTTTTTTTATTTATTACTAATTTAGTAGTAATATTGACAAAATATGCAGAAATAAAAAATAGTAGCTTTGCTGCTTTGCTCTTAGGATACGTGAATTTTGAGACTATAGCGATTTCTTTCGAAAATCGTTATTAGCATAAGCTAATTAAATTAGCGCCTGCGCAATCAGTTCAATATCACTGCTGTAACTGTATTTCTCTTACGCACTTTACGTAATTGCACTTTACGTAATTTGAGATTATCATTTCCCTTATACTTTCGAAAACTCTAACGCAACGCCAGGTCATCGCAAGAGTTTATTAGCAAGTACACAAAGCAAGAACCAGCGAGCAAAGCAAGCTGATCAGCAAGAGGCGCATAAACCGCGGGCGCTCGTGTCGAGGAGGGGGGTGTGATTCGTAATATACAAGCGGTTGCAGTATTCTGCATTGCCGCTGAATCCGCTGATGCGGTACTTTGCGTTGCTGGCGTTTCGGCGACAGCATGCGCTGGCGCATAATACTCCAAGAAAACACAAGTGTCACTGCAAAATAATTGTGTGCAGATTCTTTGACGCAGTTAAAGAGAAGTGGTTTTTCGCCATGTCGGTGGCGGCAGCTGCATCGTTTCACGCTAGACAGCAACACACGTTGGAAAAATTTAGGTTGTACTGCTCCAACGGAAATATTTTGTTGTGACGGCCAGGATTGTGACAACGTCGAATCGCCGTGGCCACAATAATGGTCATCACAATCAACGAATCGCCGCTGGCGATGCCTTGTTCGGCTTTCGTTAGGTGGCAACTGCCGTCAGCAGGTCGCGGAACGAGTCCACCTTAGCCTCCATGATAAAGCTAAGATTGCGTCTCATGTTTTTCAAACGCGCTAACACCAGTGACCTTCGACAGGTTTTCGGTAAGAGAACGGCAGTTCGGCTGCAACCGTCTCTTGGCAAAATCTGGTAGTTATGCCACTGCTTCGCAAGCGCGTCCCCTCGTACGCTCACCGTCCTCGCAATTTTCCCCACGACGGTTTCATTACAAAAAACCTCTGTTCGGTTTTCGATTTTCTAACTTTCTGGGCGTTTTTTTTCGGTTTTTCATTTTCTTATCCCACCTTGGTTTCTTATGTTTTATTTTGCTCTCTTGTGCTCGTTATATCGACTTTTATAGTATGTTTTCTTATGTTTTCTTATATTTTCTCATACTTTCTCATATTTTTTACTTATTTGTACGTTTTCTTATGTTTATTTTTTACTTATTTGTACGATACAAAAATAAACTGATTACTGACTGATACAGAATCAGCAATTAAGAGTATCAAGTAGTGACTTGTGTGAGCATCATGTACGTGACATTTGCCATATGTATTGTATTGTAAATATTGTTGAGTATGTTTTTGGGAACAACCGGGCGAACCAGATAGTTGTATAACCGCATCGGCGCATCCCAAAAAACAGATATAATAATCATTAGGAGTCGTATTAATTAATGGTCTACTTTCTATGCGGATGAAATCGTAGTCGTAATTTGCGGTTGTACTCTCACAGGAGTTCATATTCAACAATATAAACCGCGCCGTGATGTTTCGTAAACAACACTACAACAGTTCCACTGAGCAAAAACTTTATTAAATGGAAAAATGCTTCTTAATTTATGGTAACGTTCGTGCTTTCACCGATCAATGCACCAATAATTAAGTCATATACAGTTAGATAGTCAAGTAGTTAGATAGTTAGATAGCTAAGATAAACAGAAAGAGTTTAAGAAGAACAGCTCAACAACCAGAGGCAAACAAGCAGCTAACCATAATGGCCTAATTGTAGCATCCGGTTTCGATGGGCGTCTCCCCGGGCACAAAGATGGCCAGGATGCGTTTGTAGTACTTGAAGCGGGATTGGGACTGGTCCAGGTTTGCTCCATTGCACTCATGAGCACCGTTGATGGCCTTGATGGTGGCGCCGAAATGCCCTTCTTGGACTCCGTCATGAGAGTGCACATTGGCACCCCAGAACCAGTAGGTGGTGTCCCAGGCGACCTGGTCGTCCTTCAGGATGAGGTCGGGATTCGTCAACAGACGGTCGTCGTGGTACAGTGCTTCCGACGCGGAACGGTAGTTGGCCTCCCAGGTCAGCTGGATGTAGCCGCGTCCGTAGTACTTCCCGTACTCCGCCAGCGGTTGTTCCTCCTTCATCTTCTGCAGTCCGCCGGACTCGTGGAGGATGTTAGCCAGGAACATGGCCAACTCGCGTTTGGTAGTGATGTGCCCGTTGGGCGCGCCTTTGACGAAATGATCGTACTGGGCGTCCGTCGGCTGCGGGAAACCGTTGCTGGTTACGGCTTTGAAGAATTGGTCCTTGCTGACCAGGTTTTTTGAGGAGGAACCTGGAGAACCAAGGTTCAGTTTAGAAAATCGGTAATTTATCGAGTTCTTGCTATAAATTAGTCTCCCTTAAATGTGGTTGTGTTAAAGGTCAAGGAACGGCCCTACCTTGGTTGGTTTTAGCCGGCGCCCGCGGGGTGGTTGGTTTCTGTGCCGGCCGAGGAGCGGTCTCTTCACCACTATTGGGACTGGCGTCGGCTCCGTCTGCTTTCTTGCAGAATCCGAATACTTCGGCGCCGTTGTTGCATTTCAGACCGCTGCAGCAGGGAGGAAGATGGCCGGCACAGCCTTCGTTTTCCGTCTGACAAGCCTCGATTACTACGCTCTGCAAGCGAGAAAGTCAGTTGAGAACTTGATGTTAACTGTATTTAAAAAAAGGTGACTTTAACAGATGGAAGCCTTACCGAACAAGCGACAGCGAGCAGGATTACGGTTAATCCTCGCATGATTAATAAATGGAGAAATCGGTTAAAAATATTATAACACAAAGTAAAGGAGTTAATGCGGAGTTGTGAATGGTAATACAGCGACAGAACGACTGCCTTATATAGTCCCATCTGCGATGCCGGCTGTGTTAAAATCGCAGCACCGGTTCATACAGAGTACGAAAACCGCGCCAGCAAATTCATACGTCAGCTTTATCATAAGGGTTTTCGGGGAGCCAGACCTTACTGCAACTGGAAATTCTTTCGCCTCAGCAGCACGTGCAACACGATTTCGTGTTAAATGTACTGTCTCCGCTTATAACCACCACTATGCACTTACAGTTAGCGACGGGAAAGCTGGCGTAAGCTGAAATTTATTAAGTGCTATGATGTTGTGCCAAATGCCGGTTGGCAACGGAAAATAAAGTTTTCTGCGCTGGCGCTAAAGCGTTATCAACATTAGTTTTGATCATCCTCGAAGTGCATTGGTATTAAATGCTATAATTTATAAGAAAACAGTGATAATAGAAGAAGATAGTTTTCTGAAATAATTATATGGTTCCTCTCTGTAGTCTGTACATATTGTGCACTTTAAAAAATTTTCGAAAAACTTCTATCCCGATCAATGTAGGTACGAGTACTTTATTTGCGGGCTTTTATTTTTGGCGCACAATGCACATGTCTCGCGGATACTATCGAAAGAATTTAAATCTTTAAAACTATAGCTGCAATCTGTGCAATCACGCTGTGAAAGGCGTTTTCCACCAACATTTCGCATCACATTATCGAGCAATTTGTATTATTTCTTTAACTATCTAAGCTTTTCGACTTTCGTTTAATATACTTGCCTTGCATTTCTGCGGAGCCCTGAGAGTTATTTTGTGGAGATATGAATAAATAAATGATTTCTGGTAAAATATGTAGCGATGAAATTATAACAAAAAAATCATAAAGTCAAAAAGTTTCATAAAAGTCGAAATTATCTAAGTTGTTGTTATCTTTGAAGCACGAGAGTCAATCGCGGCAGATGCTCTGAGCAGTAAGACATATTAATACTCGCTGGTCAGACGCCGTTCTACGCTTATTGTGCCGTATGAGTTTACTGAAAAACTTCCGGTTATATCTCAAAATTATTACAATAACTGACAACATGCGAACAATCGGAAAAACAGAAGAATTTTCAATGCAGCGTTAAGAAACGGTTACAGCTTGTCACGACGCCAACTGTATCCCGAAGCTGAAGACGTGTATGGCTCAAGAACAGTGGTCGATCATGGATGCCGCAACTCTGCGGCGACGACTTATAGAAGAGTGACCATGGATAAGTGTAGACCTGTCCTGACGCGGGGATGCTATGACAGTATGACGACAAACTGACAATACTATCGCAACTCCATAACAAAAGGAGCTAAATAATGTCGTTAAACAAGCAGCTTCCGGTTTAAGGGATGTTACTGAGAATCATTGCTTGCGGGCCGCGGGGCAGCAAGATCTAAAATTGGAGTACGCCTTGGAGTTAAGTATCATTTTTTTAGTCGCGGACAGCGAGGCTAGGGTCTTCCCGGCGGATATGTCACTGCCATCGCGGAATTATCTCCACCCTCTCTCCGATATCTGTACACATGTTTGTAGCTGTGCAGTATTTCGACTCCTCTGTCATCTGTATTTTGTTTTTCCACATTTTGTTTTACCACCTGACCAGACTAGCGAGTGCCGCAGCGTTTTCTGCTCTTGATAAGACTTGCTAACTCAACTCGCTGATCATGGGTCTAGAAGAGGGAAGAAGAATCCTGTTAAAGTTCACCTGCGTTTACAATTAGAAAGCCGAGCAAAATCTGACATGAACCTCAAACAAATTTTATCAGAATTTTGATGTCAATAACTGGCGCGAAAACACGATAGAAAGCCGATAAACCGTCTCCTTTTAAATTTTGCACTGCAGTTTCTATGTACTCGTATTTACCAACCATGCAAGAGCATTAAAACTTAATGTCAGGAGGCATTCAGGAAGATTTTCGCTTTTTTATTAAAACAAAACGCATAATCGATGACAAACACTTTTTGTGTTACACTCGGTACTCGGGAATGCTCACCTAGTGGTACACATGCAGAAAATGTCAAAAGCGTATGACCTTTGCGTAGCATGCCGCCAGAGGATGTTAACCGTAGTTGCATGGCCACCCAGAATACAAATGGTTAATGGACAAATTTAGGAACGCATCATGCAACGTGTAGCTTGCTGGGCGTAGAAGCCGCTGCAGAGTGGCGGCATCGTGTTATTCTATGATGCCGGGAATCGTGCAATATTCCTGGCTGCATAACTGCCAATGCAACATCAGCACTATGCGTGTCTCAAGTGTTTTTACCAGCTATAATGATAACGTCTTTTCTGCGTGCCCGTCGCGCTTCCGGTTTGGCAACAACATGCAGTTTACGAATTGTGTAGCTCTGGGAAAAGGGACATCTATCTGAAGGTTATACCGCGTATTGACATTTTTCCAGTGGTAGCAGAGAAGTGGTTATTCGAAAAATTAGTGACGATGACTGCAGCGGTCAGCAAAACTTCGGTATATTTTAGACATTTCTACTGTGAAAACAGCAGTCAGCAGCTCGTGTCGGCCACTTGAAGAAGGTATTTCCAACCGATCCAGGGAGACATGTACTTCAGACCAAGCTTACCTTATTAAACTAGTATAAGGTCTCATACGCCCTTAGGGCAAGCGGGCGGCGGTTTTCAATTTTAAATGTATAAGGCAGCAAATGTGTAAAGTATAATTATTATTTACGATTAATAACACGTACTGTAAACGCCGACGCGGCAAATTGGCCGTGGCAGTTGAGATTTAGTTTCAAAGGAAGTGTCGTGTGCATATTACTGAATCCGTTCAAACTTTCGCTTTCGCTCTCTCCCAAACACTTTATTACCTTAGTGACATTTTGTGGACAAATAATTTGTGCAACTGCAGTAAAAGCCGTTGTGGACGCAAGGTCCGGTTGGAGAGTGATAGGCGATATAGATTCCAATAAGTTTCAAAACCGGTAAATGTAAAAATTCATTAAGAATCATCGACTTGTTCAAATCTAAATGTAAATGCGCATAAGTGTGCAGTCCGCATAAGTAAATATCTATATAAGAGTTCTGTACTGTATACGGTATACCTAACAACGGCTCTAGCAATGTTTCTTAAATTTTAAAATATATTTCAAAAACTATAAAATTTGTGTTAAAACTTGGCAAAAATGCCGTAATAGTGCATCCTTTACTTTCGTCTAAAATCTCCCCAACCGGATGTAAGATCGTCTTACATTGTTATAACTGTTTATAGCGAGAAAACCATCAGTCGTAAAAGACAAAACTGCAGCAAAACGCACAAGTCGTTAGTTGTAAACCGAAATATCTTTTGTGCACTGCTCACACTACTATAAGCGCTAAGCTAAGTAATAACATTAGACGTAAGCAATAAATGAACTATAGATTGCAATTTATCAAGGGCATAGCACCACAAAGAGAAAATGACAGTGGGAATTAAAAATAAGATTACTTAAACTTGTTTGGCTTCCCACAACCAGAACAATAACGGTGAGCGCGCTGATCGAGATTCGTTATCAGCCTCCGACCGGGTGCTGTCTATTGCTACCGCTGTATTCATTGAAAAATTTACAAATTCGACTGATTGTAAGTGGGTGCGATTTTAAGTTTTGTGGTATCGCACCGTCTAAGATTCAGCGCTGTAAGTTTGGTAGATTCACTTCTGCAGAGCATCCGGCACTTTAATTTACAGAACACTTTTAAAGAGCACGTCGTGGCAAATTAATATGGTTTTTAGATGATCAAGAACTTGCGGTAACCTTAAAAAAACTTTTTCTTGGCACTTTTCAGATTTACCAGTAGATCAACATCAAGAATAAAAATTTGACAGATTAGAAAACAATCAGCATGAAATCTGATTTTGAAACCAAAACCATGCTTGAGAATTACGCTTTATATTATGAAAATAGTTTTGGCCAGAAAATGTGGGAACCTAGTAGATATCCTGAATACACAGCCAAAAAACCCGAACTGTATAATCCGGTTTTACTTTGAAATTAAATGCTTATTTAACGAAATCATTAGGAAATAAATTTTTAAAATCTACAGGAAGTTAAAACCAAATTTGAAAAATTTTAAAATCGGTGAGTTATTTCTAAAATTACTCGTATCTCAAATCTGACAAATGATTCAGGCAATTAATAAAGCTGAGAAAAGAAGCTCAATATTTACTTCCGAATTCATAAATATTTCCTAATCTAAAATTTTAATAAGCAAAAAAATAAATACCGGGCATCTGTTAGAAATATAGTCATTTCATTTTGCGCTCAGCCATTTTGTTCTTGCACGCAATTTTAAAACCATTAAAATCGCACTTAGAATTTGTGCATGTTAGTAGCTTCCTCGGTTAAGGGAAGTGGCCCGGTACATGGTGCTCAGTTCGTGCACTTGCACGAAAACTTTCACTGTCGCGCACTCCCATACACGTTTTTGTTTCGGTTTATGACATTCTGTAGCCAAATAATTTGTAATCACTGGCGTGAAAACCGTATGTGCGCGCAACATCCGGTTCGGTAGTTATGGCTGACAGAAAATTCCAGAAACTTTAAATACATTCAGGTCTACCAAAAGTCTCATTATTGACCAATCGCCCTCAGATTTTGCAAGTAAATGCGCGTGGCCATGAAGATCGTTTTCACACTGATCCAGACTTCCATGATGTTTTTCGAATTTTAAAATGGATTTTAAAGTTTTGAAATTCATTTTAAAATATGAAAAACATGTTAGAGCAGTGAAGAACGTTCTGATGTAAGAACGGTGTAAGAACGTTCTTCGTGGGTATGCGCATTTATGTGCAAAATCTAAAAGAGATCGGTCCATATAGAGACCTTTTGTACACCTAAAACACCTAAATGCATTCAAACTTTTTCGAATTGTCTAAAGGCCATAACTACCGAACCGGATGTTGCGCGCACAAATGGTTTTCACCCTAGTGCATACATATCATTTGGTTATAGAAGAACGGTGTAAGAACGTTCTTCGTGGGTATGCGCATTTATGTGCAAAATC